AATTCAAGTTTGCAAAACATTCACTGAAAGTCACCAGGAACTAATATTAAACACAGATGTACTTTTCTGGAGGCAAATATTAGTTATAATTTTCAAATGTGAACAGTCTAAAGAGAGTTCATGATAAAAATAATTCAATTGAAAGGAAATTTGGTTGTTTTTGTGGCAGGCAAAACAAAGATAATAAAGCCATTCCAAGCAAATTTTAGACAAAATGTCTCTCAGGATAATGATTAAGTTTATTTCCAAATAAGTCTGAATATTGGATCTGGTTTACAAAGATAAATGGACAAATTTCTATACAGGAAAAAATTTTAAGATATAACATAATAATCCTGAGACATAATTTTTTAATACCAAGAATATCAAGTAAAGAGATTCAGGAAGTCCAAAGCAGTGCCTAGATATCTGTATATTTATAAGCTCCATAGAGAAGTCTGATCTGCAATATCCACTAAGAACCACTGGCCTAGAAAATGCTGGACTTAAATTAAAAAAAATTTTTTTTTTTGGAGACAGGGTCTAACTCTGTCGCCTAGGCTGAAGTGCAGTGGTGCAATCACAGCTTACTCAGCCTTGATCTCTAGGCTCAAGCGGCTGAGTAGCTAGGACTAAAGGTGCTTGCCACCACGCATGGCAAATTTTTTAATGTCTTGTAGAGGTGGGGGCCCACTATGTTGCCCAGGTTGGTCTTGAGCTCCTAGGCTCAAGTGATCCTCCTGCCTCAGCCTCCCAAAGTGCTGGGATTATAGGTGTGAGCTACCATGCTTGGCCTAGATTTAAATTAAAGAAGGCAGGCTGTGGTCCACATTTTAAATCATATTAAAATGATGACTGATAACACTATATTGTTGCCTAATGTCATCAAGAAAAATACCACACGACTCTGATAAACACAGGAAAACTACATAACAATGCTCTGCATGGAGTCAAGTTTAAAACAAATAATATGTTGGGTATATACAATATACGAATTCAGCAAAAAGAATATTGAGAATGGATTTTGTTAAGAGTGATGAAAATGTTTAAGATTGCTCACTTATTGGGGAGAAACAGTTTCAGCTGATGAGAGGAACAATGCGTAGGATAAGCCATGAGTATGGCTGATGATGCAAACAAACAAACAAAAGGAAACAAACAAACATGTTTCATTTCTTATATCCCAGTCAAAAACTGTATCCTAAAGATACGTTCAAGAACCTGTTTCCAGAAGACAGGCTTAAATATATATATATTTGAAAAGATCAATTTTTACACACACATGCTCCCAACAGACATCCATAATATTACATATATTATTTAAGATTAAAATATTTATATTTAATATAGTCCTAGGACTTGCATCTTTTCAGTGGAAAGGTGGTAAAGATAATGCTACTCATTTTATAAATATATAAAAGGAGCTAACTTCCTTAAGTTCAATTACAAGATTTCCTCAGTGATCTCTTTAGTAGTAACAATATAAAATATACATAAAGGCAAAGGTCATATCTCTATCATCATTAAATAAAAATCTGGTATTCAAGTTAACAGTTTCCTCTGACCACTCCTTTTCACACAAAATATAAAATGTCTCAGGTTAAGATTCAACCTTCAAATCTGAATTCTAGTTCTGAGAGAATTTTTCTCTTATTCTTTTCAGAAGCATAAACTTGATTTTCAATACAAGTACTCTGAAGGATAATTTTAATATGTCCTAAATAGAGAAAAAAAGGAAACCTTATTGGTGTTCCTTGCTAATGACAGAATGAACACTTGGTATTTTTTCTTCTACAAACGGATGCACTGCACTGTGACCCAAAAAAAGTTAACATATTTTAATTTTGTTATTAACTTCTTAATAACAGACATGAGCTTCACAGGCTAAAAAGAAAGACTAAACCAACTGGCCAATCTTTATGTTTATACACTTTCCTGATTTGTATGCTCTGATCTATTGTTTCCTTCTCTCTTTCAATTTTATCTGAGTAATGCCAGAATACTGATTGAAAAGTTGTAAAAAATTTTTTATAAAGCGTCTTTATTCTCTAAGCGTGCACAGCTATTACATTTTTTAATACTTGATCTCACTTTCCAAAAGTAAAATAATTATCTTGGTATAAATCTCTCCCTATCACCAGGCTGCTGAGATTATTATTTTCGTCATCACCAGTATCAAGAAACAAAAGCATATAAAAAGTTCTGCAAAGATAACAGACTTTTTTTTTTTTTTTTTTTTTTTTTTTTTTTTAGATGGAGTCTCGCCCTGTTGCCCAGGCTGGAGTGCAGTGGCATGATCTTGGCTCACTGCAACCTCTGCCTCCCGGGTTCAAGCGATTCTCCTACCTCAGCCTCCTGAGTAGCTGGGACTACAGGCGCCCGCCACCACGCCTAGCTAATTTTTGCATTTTTAGTAGAGATGGGGTTTCACCAGGTTGGCCAGGCTGGTCTTGACCTCCTGACCTTGTGATCCTCCCACCTCGGCCTCCCAAAGTGCTGGGATTATAGGCATGAGCCACCACAACCGGCCAGATAATGACTTTGTAAGAGCCAACTTGAGATACTATATTCACCAATTGAAATGTCCACCTGTTATTTCATTCTAATGATACTGTTCATTTCTTCCATTATATAACATATAACTAATTTCTATGGGTAACATCTAAATATACCAGAATCCTCAAAAGTACTTCTTTCCAATTATTTTATCTAGTAAGTTTTAATTCAGTAGGCTATACTCTTTAAATGAGTAATATATTATTCAGCTAATAGTTGTTTGCTTATTTTGATAGATAAAATTTAAGTTCCATTCTCTAGACTGTTGCTAGTATTCTCAAATATTTTTCTCTAAATTCCACATTTTTTTTTTCCTTTTCTTTGAGACAAAGTCTTACTCTGCTGCCCAAGCTGGAGTGCAGTGGTGCAATCTCGGGTCACTGCAACTTCCACCTCCTGGGTTCAAGTGATTCTCCTGCGCTGCTCAGCCTCTCGAGTAGCTGGGACTACAGGTGCCTGCCACCACACTTGGCTAATTTTTGTATTTTTAGTAGAGATGGGGTTTCACCATATTGACCAGGCTGGTCTTGAACTCCTGGCCTTGTGATTCACCTGACTCAGCCTCCCAAAGTGCTGGGATTACAGGCATGAGCCACCACACCTGGCCCACATTTCTGGTTTTTACTTTTTGGAAAAAACAATATAAAAAATAATTCCACACCTTGTACATCTAGTATTAGTCCAGGTAGGATATCTATTTTATGGTGAACAAAACTTATTTGTACTATAAAGTAAAAACTGCTTATTTCTTCCATCTAAAAAGCAGCATTGTAAAACATCATAAATGTAGGCATTTTTTCTAATTATCTAAGTTTTAGAAAACTCATAAGCATCCAAAATAATTTTCAAATTCAGTATTAAGTAACCTTAAAAATAAAGAAGGCATTTTTACATCAAAATCTCTGGATAAATAACAAAATAAAACTTAGTAGGTTTTGATTTAGAAAAAGTTTCTTAAAAAATCAGTATTTTAAAAACTAAAAATCAATCATGTTAGTTCTGCCGACTTGAAATGTCCTAAAAAACTGTAAGATTAAAAAAAAGATAGCCATGGTGGTACCATGGGTGAAGCACTGGATTGAAACCTCCCATCCCCCACCCCCCCCAAAATAAAACAAATGAATAGAAGCCAGTCTCATTTATGCATCATAATTACTGCTATTGAACTTATTTTGAGACTTTTTTCAATACAAATTCCTGAAGTCTTAAGATACCTTGACATTAACATATGTTCTATTTTAAAATTGTTGTACCAGTTTATTTCAGAGTTATTTACCTAAAACATAGGTATTTTTTCCTTAATAAAACAGAGGATTTTTACTTATTGGAAAGAAAATTCTTCTATAGCTTTTTATTAGCCCTGACTCACATCAAATCGAATCTATTCAAAAGTTTCCCTAAACAGAATCCTTTATTTCTTAATTTTTTTTTTACTCACTCAAAAGATTATAAAGAAAAGGGCACTGGATACTGTGGTCAACAGGAAAGCGAATTGCAAAGGAAAAATTTCTCTTAAAATTCAACTGAGAAGACAGTTGGATATAAGGACATCTATGATTTGTGGAACAAAAACTAATATTATTACTGGTCACAGATCCCTTTAAAGAAAGCCATGTAACCATTCCTTCCTGAAAATGCATTTAACATACAAAATCTCTGCACAGTTTCAGAGGGATTCACAAGTTCTCCCAAACACATGAAATCTCAGATTATTAACACTGGTAGTTGTAAAAGCTCTCTGACCCAACTCAAAAGATAACCTTACAAAAAATCTAAGTTTAACAATGTCTTTGAACTCCAAATTAATCAGACTTTTACTTTAAGATCTTAATAATCAAGCACAACTTAACGTTTAACATTACATAATAAAATTAGCTATAATCCTAAAACATGAAATAGAAAATTTTAAATTACTATATATAAAAGATTATTTTAAGTTATGTGTATCTTTTCAATTCATTCATCAATCACACAGATATCCTAAGTGAAAATTCAACATATTTGGGTATTATTTGCCTGGTGAAGAAAGAGTCAAGAAATTTTGAACTTTGCAAATGTAAATTGTGTTGCAAATGCTACTTAAAAGACCCAACTGTCAAAATCACAATTAGCACTTTTGCTTAATTATATCATTAAGGAAATACATCTGTAAAATGTATCTCTAGTTCCACTTTTTTCTACTCAATTTTTATTATTTAAGGACAATAATAGAATTCAGTAACTTCTCATTAGTAACATGCTAGTAGTAGTAGAATTAGCTAATGTGCCAGTTTCAATATTCTTATTTTATTCTCACCATGCAAACCTGTAACTTTTACTGAGTTTTGAAAATCCAAGTGTGCAACAGATACCTTTAAAATATTATCCCCAATCAGGAGTTCCATAAATAAATTGGTATGTTTTCATTACAGTGGTCAGTAAATAGAAAAATGATTACTTAAGAATGTATTTAAAGCCATCTCTCTCAACTGTCCCATTATCTGTACTCTTTTATTAGAAAAATCTTAAATTTTATCATTTGGAATAACAAGCAATTTAAACCTAATTTTCTCATTTTAGGTTTGTTTTAAAAATGGATACAATGACCTTTAGGAATAGGCCACTAAATCAAATCAAATGTATTTTCTCAAATACATCTTAGTATAGACCAAGAATTAGTTTATATACCACAGCAAATTGTGGTTATCTGTAAATGATTTTCAGGGATAAAAGCCTTGCAACATTGCAGAGAGTTGAGAGATGTGGTTAAAGCAACAAAGCAATAAATAAGGTTTCAGTAATCATAACAGAAAAATGAAGTAACAGTCACTTGGAATCTTGAGTATTATATTCAGTTTCTCCAGCTGAAATCTGGCTGAGCCGCTTGCTCGATCCCCACAATTTTCGAGAAAGCTGACCTGAACGCATCTGTGTAAAGTAATCCAAAGAAATGAAGAATAAATGTTAAGAAAAAAAATAAAAATGATATATAAGACACTGATTTTGCAGAGTGAAAAGAAACAAATTGTTAGCAGAATTATTAACACTTTAAAGGTTATTAACAATAGAGAAAGACGGCCAGGTGTGGTGGCTCATGCCTGTAATCCCAGCACTTTGGTAGGCAGAGGCAGGCAGATCACTTGAGGCCAGGAGTTCAAGACCAGCCTGGCCAAAATGGCAACCTCCCGTCTCTACTGAAAATATAAAAATTAGCCCAGTATGGTGCATGGTGGCACACGCCTGTAATCCCAGCCACTTCGGAGGCTGAGGCATGAGAATTGCTTGAACCTGAGAGGCAGAGGTTGCAGTGAGCCGAGATCATGCCACTGCATTCTAGCCTGGGCATCACAGGGAGACTCTGTCTCTCTCTCATACACATACATACACACATAATAATAACAATAATAATAATGGAAGACTTTTATGCTTATTTTGTCTTTGGTCTAATGTCAATGTGTACATTTCAAACAATTAATGGCCCAGTTATGTCAAAATTACCAGATTCCTTTATTTTATAAATTATCAAAAATATGTATTACTTCATCAAAATCAGCTTCTCAAAACTATTTTTTAAAATTTTTAATTAATTTTTTATTTGTTTGTAGAGATGAGATCTCACTATATTGCCCAGGCTGGTGAAGTCCTGGGCTCAAGCAATCCTCCCACCTCAGTCTCCCAAAGTGCTGGGTTTACAGGTGTGAGCCACCACACCTGGCTCAAAATTATTCTTAATTTTGCTAACAAGACATACAGGTTTGGAGATTTTCTTTTCTTGAATTTGCAGTACTGTTAATGCCAATCATAAGTATAAGAAGAAAGTAAAATAAAGTTTTGATGAAATTTTAAAATATTTTAAGACTTTCAAAAAATAATATTTAACAAGAGAATGATAAAAAGTAATGTAGAAAACAAGGAGAGCATAAGCCTCTTGAAGGCAGGAATTGCATCTCATTCACCATTAAATTTGCATCACCTGCCATCCTTCCCAGTGTGTAATAAATATTAACCAAATATTAATTAAATCAATGAATAAATAAATGTCCTTTAAAAGTGTTTATACATCCAGGTGGGGCAAAAAACCCCTACGGTTTGTTGTAATTACTTTCTCAAGTGCAATCTACTTTTTAATGGTGATTCCACTTTTTTTTAGAGATAGGGTTTCACTCTGTTGCCCACACTGGAGTGCAGTGGTGCAATCTTGGCTCACTGCAACCTCTGCCTCCTGGGCTCAGGCAGTCCTCCCACCTTAGCCTCCTGAGCAGCTGAGACTACAGGAGCATACCATCATGCTCAGCTAATTTTTGTATTTTTAGTAGAGATAGGGTTTCAACATGTTGCCCAGGCTGGTCTCAAACTCCTGGCCTCAAGTGCTCCACCCACCTCAGCCTCCCAAAGTGCTGAGATTACAGGCGTGAGTCACCATGCCCGGCCTGCCACCTTTTTTAATGGTCACTTTTCTTTTTTTTTGAGATGGAGTCTCACTCTGTTGCCAGGCTGGAGGTGCAGTGGCACAATCTTGGTTCACTGCAACCTGCACCTCCTGGGTTCAAGCAATTCTCCTGCCTCAGCCTCCCAAGTAGCTGGGACTACAGGCTTGCACCACCACACCCAGCTAATTTGTTGTTGTTGCTGTTGTTTTTTGAGACGGAGTCTTGCTCTGTCACCAGACTGCAACCTCTGCCTTCCTGGTTCAAGCAATTCTCCTGCCTCAGCCTCTGCCTCCGGAGTAGCTGGGACTACAGGCACGCGCCACCATGCCCAGCTAATTTTTTTTTTTGTATTTTTAGTAGAGACAGGGTTTCACCATGTTGGCAAGGATGGTCTTGATCTCTTGACCTTGTGATTTGCCCACCTTAGCCTCCCAAAGTGCTGGGACTATGGGAGTGAGCCACTGCACCTGGCCCACACCCAGCTAATTTTTGTATTTTTAGTAGAGATGAGGTTTCACCATGTTGGCTGAGATGGTCTGGATGTCTTGACCTCGTGATCCCCCCACCTTGGCCTTCCAAAGTGCTGGGATTACAGGTGTGAGCCACTGCGCCCGGCCTAATGGTTGCTTTTCTAGGATATATTTATTGGAGTGATAAAAAAGAAGCTTTATACAAAGTACTAGTGGCTTTGGCATGCTTGCTTTGCAGTTACATTTACAGATGTATTTTCTGAAGCACTACTACCTTACCTGATTTTTACATATGATTTTCACTCTAATAGAATAATATATAAAACTGGTACACAGGGCCGGGCGCGGTGGCTCAAGCCTGTAATCCCAGCACTTTGGGAGGCCGAGACGGGTGGATCACGAGGTCAGGAGATCGAGACCATCCTGGCTAACACGGTGAAACCCCGTCTCTACTAAAAAAAAAAAAATACAAAAAACTAGCCGGGCGAGGTGGCGGGCGCCTGTAGTCCCAGCTACTCGGTAGGCTGAGGCAGGAGAATGGCGTGAACCCGGGAGGCAGAGCTTGCAGTGAGCCGAGATCTGGCCACTGCACTCGACAGAGCAAGACTCCGTCTCAAAAAAAAAAAAAAACAAAACCAAAACTGGTACACAATTAAAAATATGTATTAATCAAGATTTTGATATTTTAGATAAAAATAGATCTTGAAATGGAAATATCTTTTCATAACTAAATATGGATCTAGTTCATATTCTACACTGTAGTACAAAGTCTTGCTCTGTCACCCAGGCTGGAGTGCAGTGGCATGATACCAGCTCACTGCAACCTCCAATTCCCAGATTCAAGTGATTCTCTTGCCTCAGCCTCCCGAGTAGCTGGGATTACTGGCGTATGCCACCGCACCTGTCTAATTTTTATATTTTTAATAGAGACAGGGTTTCACCACGTTGGCCAGGGTGGTCTCGAACTCCTGACCTCAAACGATCCACTTGCCTCGGCCCCCTAAAGTACAGGGATTACAGGCGTGAGCCACCGTGCCCAGCCACAATAATATTAATTTAATGACACTTTTTTTGTTAAAATAATATGCTGAAAAAAAAGCATAAGGACTAAAGAAATTTCAAATATTTATAAAACAGTTTTTTACGATCTTTAACAGGTTATTATAGCCACTGACTGTGTGACAGTAATTTCTTCCCCTGAAATAACGCCGACAGATCCCATATTGTTAGATTTCTCAGAAAATACCAACAGTGACTTAAAAAAAAATTATAATGCTTAATTTAACTATGTAATAACATGAATTATTTGGAAGAATCAGTAAGTTACTAGAGTATAACTACAGTTTTCCTAAGAGCGAGAGTTAGATTTATGATACATGAATATTCAATAATTGATAAATCATTAGCAAGTAAATTTAACTATAGGAAACTCACTGAGAATAAGCACACTATATGGGGATATTTGTAGTTACAAATAAAAAATGATGCTTTTACAAAATAACTGACATATAGTTATGATGAATATTTGTTAAAATTAAAGTAGTTTTATTGTTTGAGCCTATATTTCATTCTTTTGTAAAGGCTCTTATGTATTGAAAATCTAAGTCGTGGTCTTGAATCTAGATTTGGAAGAAATGAATTTTCTTATTCCTATAGAGTGGTAGATAGAATTGCCAAAGATGGGCTTTCAATAATAATATAAACATCACTTTTGAATAATAACTTTATCCTCTTTTTATTTACTGCCTTTTGAAAAATCAAATTTGGTTTTAATTTGTTTATCCCTAATGGTAACTTCTCAATCAGCTGGAATGAAGGAGAACCAAAGTAATCCCCAACAGCATGAGAAATGAAATTACTGATGCTAGGTTTTACCTCAGCAGGCTTGCCAACACCCACTACAATCAATTTGCCGTCTTCTAAACCTACAAGAATATGGCTGCATTCTTTGGTTACACAAACACAATGGATAGGCAGTCGCATAGCTAATGGGTTGATGCTGAGATTCAAACTAGAAGAGAAATAAAAAATACAGACATAATTACATGGATTTATAATGAATTCACAGAATTTTATATCTGGAAAATAAATTAATGCTCATCTAGTTCTGGATTCTAATTTTACAATGTGGGAACTTGGGTCCAGAAAGTCTAAGTGACTCACACAAGGGCCTGTATTTATAGCATTACTTAAACACACTTGATAAACAGATCTTTTCTCTATTTTTGACATCTATTTTTCTTCTAAACATATATAATCAAACAAAATATCAATAAAGCAAACAAGAACCTAAAATATAAACATTTTCTTGACTTTCTAGAGAATCTTAATCTTTTTTCAATTTTCCAACCCATTCTATTATTACTTCAGTTTTTACATCTTATTATTACATTCGTCATTTATCTAAGGTAGTCTTTACGTTCCCTTTAGAGAGATTAGAGGGAAGGTGAGAGACAAAGTAAGGAACACAACGGTTAGATAGGATTTTATATGGATACTAACTAGATTCTTATCCTTAGTGTTATTCCTAAAACAGATAGAAATAAAGTTCCTGTACCAGTCACTGTTCTCTGAGCCTCAGACTCTCAGTGGGCATTTGTTCTAGTCTTGCTCTGATCTTATCCCTGAAATGCAGCACAGTACACACCAAGTTCATTGCTGTTCCTATGTATTTGTGCTTTATTTCCTCACATATTGACTACCTCCATCTCCAAAAGAAGGCCCTCCCTGTCTTTTCATGTCCATTTAATTCCTACTAATCCTTCATCAAGACTCCTCTGACTACTCAGATCCATGCTAATCCTTAATGTCTTTAAAACTTCTCGTACCTGTAACTGGGACCACATAACTTAGCTCTTAAACTGTTCATAACAGTACACAAATATTGATATTTCCCCAACTAGTCTTTTTTTTTTGAGATGGAGTCTTGCTCTGTCACCCAGGCTGGAGTGCAGTGGTGCGATCTCGGTCACTGCAACCTCTGCCTCCTGAGTTCAAGTGATTCTCCTGCCTCAGGCTCCTGAGTATCTGGGACTACAGGTGCCTGCCACTACATCCTGCTAATTTTTGTACTTTTAGAAGAGATGGGGTTTCATTATGTTGGCCAGGCTGGTCTTGAACTCCTGACCTCAAATGATCCACCCACCTCAGCCTCCCAAAGTGCTGCGATTATAAGCGTGAGCCACCACACCCAGCCTCCAATTGGTCTTAAACCCCTTAAAAACCATTATTATGAGTAAGCATCACAGCACCTAGGCACTCTCATGCTTATTGCCCTGTTGATTCATGAGTGAGAGGTGGATAAGAAGCCCAGAAATCTTGGGCCAGGTGCAGTGGCCCATGCCTGTAATCCCAGCACTTTGGGAAGGCTGAGGTGGTTGGATCACTTGAGGTCAGGAGTTTGAGACCAGCCTGGCCAACATGGTGGAACCCTGTCTCTACTAAAAATACAAAAATTAGCTGGGCATGGTGGTATGCACCTATATTCCCAGCTAACGTGGAGGCTGAGGCAGGAGAATCACTTGAACCTGAGGCAGAGGTTGCAGTGAGCCAATATCATGCCACTGCACTCCAGCCTAGGTGACAGAGCAAGACTCAGTCTCAAAAAACAAAACAAAACAAAACAAAACAAAAACACATATCCACTACTCCAATATCTCTCTCCTTCACTAGATCGAATGACAATAGATCCCCCTACCAATTTTATACACACACATGCATAAATATGTTAAATATACTCTAGTTTACTACAATTAAAAAACTTTATAAAAATTCAAGCCATCATTTGGACAAATTTCCAAATCCATAATTCAGACTTGGTACTATGAACATTTTTTTCTAGCTCTACATATTTAAAACATTTCTTTTGAGACAGGGTCTTGCTCTGTTGTCCAGGCTGGAGTGCAGTGCTATGATCACAGCTTACTGCAGCTGTGACCTGGGCTCAAGCAATCCTCCCACCTCAGCCTCCCAAGTAGCTGGGAACACAGGCACATGCCACCATGTTCAGCTAATTTTTAAAGCTTTTATTTTTAGTAGAGATGAGGTCTTGCTATGTGCCCAGGTTGGTCTTAAACTCCTGGGCTCAAGCATTCCTCCCTCTTTGACCTCCCAAAGTGCTGGGATTACAGGCAGGAGCCACTGTGCCCAGTCTAAAAAATTTTTTAATTGTGGTAAAATATATATAATGTAAAATTTTCTATATAATAAAAAATGTATATATATACTTCATTTATGAGTCCAGGAATACTTTAGCTTCTCCAATTTTTTATACTTGCTAAAAGACAAATTTTTGTAATAAATGATAAACCAAAAGATTAAAAATCTTAGATCCTGATTTTCACTCTAGACTAGAAGTACTGCCACCTTTTCTTAAGTGATACTTCATTGGTTTTTATTACTTACCTGTGGAGATCTCTTATAGACAGGAATCCTTGTAAGCTGCCTGTGACAATGTGTTCTCCAATTATACATATATCTGATACTTGTTCCTTCAGGATTTGAGACCCTAGATACTTGCCATTTATAGAAAACAGATGTAATGCATTCTTATCCTGCAAAGAATTAAGGAAAATTTAACAATTTCAAATAAAAACTGAGTTTTTATATTACCAGTTAAAGCTCTGACTATAACAGAATAATTATTTGGTTTAAAATTCTGGGATAAAAATATGGCTATATTTAAAGACCAAGTGTGTAGACAATATTATTAAAGTGATTTCAAATCAGATTGCCAAGTAAATATTAAACGAGAAATCTCACTCTCTCCAAAGAATTAAAATCTCATTCAGCCCTCCCCAACACCCTACATTCTTAAAACAAAAGAAAAGAATTCCTTTTCTTTTGAGATGGAGTCTCGCTCTGTCGACCAGGCTAGAGTGCAGTGGTGCAATCTTGGCTCACTGCAAGCTCTGCCTCCCAGGTTCACACCATTCTCCTAACTCAGCCTCCTGAGTAGCTGGGACTACAGGTGCCCACCACCATGCCCGACTCATTTTGTTTTTTGTATTTTTAGTAGAGATGGGGTTTCACTGTTTAGCCAGGATGGTCTCGATCTCCTGACCTTGCGATCTGCCTGCCTCGGCCTCCCAAAGTGCTGGGATTACACGTATGAGCCACCATGCCTGGCCTTTTTTTTTTTTTTTTGAGGTGGAGTCTCACTCTGTTGCCCAGGCTGGAGTGCACTGGCATAAACTCGGCTCACTGCAACATCGGCCTCCCGGGTTCAAGCAATTCTCCTGTCTCAGCCTCCCTAGTTACTGGGACTACAGGCATGCGCCACCATGCCCAGCCAACTTTTGTATTTTTAGAAGAGATGGGGTTTCACCATGTTGGCCAGGCTGGTCTGGAACTCCTGACCTCAGATGATCCACCCGCCTCAGCCTCCCAAAGTGCTGGGATTGTAGGTGTGAGCCACCACTCCCGGCCCCCAAAAATCCTTAATACTGAAAAAGCTTAGGCTGGGCATGATGGCTCATGTCTGTAATCCCAGTGCTTTGGGAGTCGAAAGCAGGAGGATCGCTTGAGCCCAGGGGTTTGAGACCAGCCTAGGCAACATAGGGAGACCTTGTCTCTACCAAAAATTAAAAAAAACTAGCCAGGTGTGGTAGCACATGCCAGTAGTCCCAGCTACTGAGGGGGCTGAGGCGGAAGGATCAGTTAAGCCCAGGATTTTGAGGCCAAAGTGAGCTATAATTGTATCACTGATTGTGCCACTGCACTCCAGCCTGGGCAACAGAGCGAGACTCTTGCCTCAAAAAAAAAAAAAAAAAAAAAAAAAGCCGGGCGTGGTGGCTCATGCCTGTTATCCCAGCACTTTGGGAGGCCGAGGTGGGCGAATCACAAGGTCAGGAGATCGAGAACCATCCAGGCTAACAACGGTGAAACCCCGTCTCTACTATAAATACAAAAAATTAGCCGGGTGTGGTGGCGGGCCCCTGTACTGTAGTCCCAGCTACTCGGGAGGCTGAGGCAGGAGAATGGCATGAACCCAGGAGGCGGAGCTTGCAGTGAGCCAAGATAGCGCCACTGCACTCCTGCCTGGGTGACAGAGCAAGACTCCGTCTCAAAAAAATATATATATACACATATATATATACACACACACACACACACACACACACACACACACACATATACATTAATTAAATAAATAGTGATGTCACTGAAAGGAAACAAATACAAAATTGAGGGCTTGTTTATTTATATCCTGCCTTATGCAAAAGGAATTTCAGTTGGCTATCACTTCCAATTTCCACTTAAGCTTAAAAAATCCTACATAATCAGAAATTATTCTGAAATCATATATTATACAAGTCAATAAAAATCCCAACAATAAAATACTAATGTGAGGCTACGATTGTGGTAGAAGTCCATCTAATGTTAAGAAACAAACAACTGAATGATGAAAGAAAAACATCCTCTTTAAAATATGGTGTTTTTTCCTTCTTCAATAAACCTCCTCTATAATGTGGGGAGGGAAAGATACACTATTGGGAGTCTACCTCTATTGCATGAAAGGTCATATACCTTGAGGGTGGTCTTTTCTTCAATGCTGGAGTAGATAACAATATGTCCTTCCCAAGATATAGCCAAATTAGGAATGGTCAGGAACAGAGAACTCTCACAAGGTGGTCGTAAAGTCCTCATGTACTGACCTTTCTGAATGGTATGTATAATCACCGTTCCATCCTACACACAGGATATATCAGAAAATGAAAAAGACAAAGAAAAACAACAGCAAAAAGGAATAAAAGTAGAGTGGGCCAGATAAAGAAATGTCGGAAAGGAACCAAGAACATGATTATTCCATCAAGGATATATGCACCTTAGGAAAAATTCCAACTTTGAAATTTCAAATAGTATTTTATTTCCTAGAATGCCCTCTTCCCTTAAATAATAAAATGAATAAAATCCCAAAATGGCATTCAGTTTTTTATTTTGCAAGGTCTATTCTACTTTTGCAAAGTCCTATACAAATATGGTATAACATTTCTATACTTTTATCAATTCCTCTGAAAAACATTTTAGTTATAAATGTTGGTAATAAATTTGTAGATAAATTAATTAGTATTTCTTAAAGGTGAAATCTTACCCTTGATCCCGACACTGCCATGTCTAGCTCAGTGCTGATGCCGACACTCAATACCTCATCGGTGTGTCCGTAAAGAATCTGAAAAGGTTTAGATGCTAAGCCCACAGGAACACCTCCCTAATAATAAAAGAGAAAAGCAAAGGTAAAGGTGGTTTCTTGTTTTCTGTTTTTCATAAGGTTTATTTAACCTTCTAATCACATTTAAATGAAGGTTCATTTAAACCTTCTAATCACAAACTAACATTGCAACTAGGTACATACCACTGAGTCTATTCATAATAGTACTCATTCTTACATTTCTACTTGGATTTCTGAATTATTCTCCATCTCAAAAACTTAACTAAGCTCAAAACCTTAACATAAATTGTTGCAGTGTTGACAGTCTTGGATTAATTTTTCCAAGTATGTTATTTCTCCTTTTAATCTACAGATTTATTCTTCCTTAACTTCAAATAAACTTTTCGTGTTATATCTCTGAATAACTTTATTTTTTTGAGACAGGGTCTCATTCTGTTGCCCAGGATGGAGTACAGTGGCATGAACATGGTTCATTGTAGCCTCGACCTCCTGGACTCAAGTGATCCTCCCACCTTAGCCTCCCTGAGTAGCTGGGACCACAGGAATGTACCACCATGCCTTGCTAGTTTTAAATTTTTTTGTCGAGATGAGAGTCTTGCCATGTTGCCCAGGCTGGTCTTGAACTCCGGGACTCAAGCAATCCTTCCGCCTCAGCCTCCCAAGGTGCTGGGATTACAGGCATGAGCCACCACGCCTGGCTGAATAATGTTTCCATTTATTGGGATCGCTGCTTCAGGGACATCAATTTTCTTTATGCTGACTGTCTTTGATTTTTATAGCTATCATTCTTTCTCTAACTGCTTTAAAGTTACTTTTTTATTGGCATTCACTTTGATTACATCTTTTTTTCCATGCTACTAATTTCATTTGCAGCCACATCAAATCTCTTTCTTGCAGTTTCTGCTTTAGGTTTGTTTGCGTTTGTAATGGTATTTTTTTATAGGTCTTGGCTGCAGCCCTTTGAAAAAACATTTGTGGGTACACAGTAGGTATATATATTTACGGGGCATATAATGGTATTGGTTTTAATCTCAGCTTGATTCTTCTGCAACCTTCGTTTTCATCTTACAATGCTATTTTATCATTTCATCTTTGATCTTCCATTTTATTGAACTACCATTCTTATGCTTTCCTAGTAACACAATTGTATTGCAAAAATTGCTCTCTGAGTCATCTTCCAGAAGAAAGACTCTTTCTTCATGTCTTTAGCATGCTTTGTCTTTAGCATAACACATTTGTATGCTATTTGTTTTATTTGAATAGTTGCTATTTGTATTTGTGATTATCCTAGACAACTCTGCCCAGACCTTCTACCTGTTCCATGCGGTATACATTAATTCCCCTTGACACTCTGCTACCTGTGACACATTTGTCTTCCCCTGTGAGTATCAGTCTGAGTGCTTAGTGCACTATATTTAACTTTCAAAACTCAGGTAATTCCTTATGGAAGTAATTCCAGTTCTAGAGAAAGAGGAGCCCTTCCTAAATTTATTTGGTAAAGACTGCATATCCCCATACTAAACATGATAAAGACAGAACAAAAATATCTATTTTACTTAAGAGTAATCATTAAAGTACTAGCTAATAAGATACATCAGTAAAGTGTAATAACAATATACCATAAATTATGTGGGTTTATTATAAAAATTCAAGGATGGTTCAAACCTAGGAAATTTCTCAATATACATAATACATTACATCAAGAAAAGGTAAAAGAAAAACTATAAATAAGATAAATGGGGAAAAACAGCTGTAAAGAACATTATTGGAAATATAAAATTAGAACATGGACTGTGGATTAGCTAATGGTATTTTATAAATGTTAAGCATTCTGATTTTGGTAACTTCGCTGGGTTTATGTACAAGATTGTCTTTGTTACCAGAAAATACACACTGACCTATTTAGGGGTATAGGCATATGATGTCTCCAACTTTTAAATGGTTAAAAAAAATAAGATGTTGTAAGAGGGAGATACTAAAAGAGACTGCTAAGACACATGATACAAAATATACTACTTTTGCAAATTTTTTACAAGTTTGAAATTTCATTAAAACTATAAAGTTACCAAAAGAAAAAAATAATGGCAGTGTTTTCACTTAAATGTGAAAAACACAACCAGTGAAACCTAACAGCAAACACTATACTAAATGGTAACATTGGGAAGGCATTTTCATCAAAATTAGATAAAGGCGGGGATGCTCACTATAATTTTGTTTACCTTATTGTATTAGCTAATAATGTAATATGGTAAGAAAATGAAATAATTAGTATATTAGAAAAGATAAAGCAAATCACTTTTATTTTCAGATCACATGATTGTATTATCTCCCTTATCTTATTTTCAGGAAATCCAAGAAATACTAACAACCATGAGAGTTGATAAGAGGATTTGGCAAAGTAACTTATAGTCAAATCACTTATAGCTTTTCTTTATATTAACAATAATCAGAAACAAAAATGATTTTAAAATCCCACTAAAAATAGTAATAGAAAACATGATAATTTTTTTTTTTTTTTTTTTTTGGAAGGGGGTTTGCTCTGTCGCCCAGGCTGGAGTGCAGTGGCCGCATCTCAGCTCACTGCAAGCTCTGCCTCCCGGGTTCACGCCATTCTCCTGCCTCAGCCTCCCGAGTAGCTGGGACTACAGGCGCCCACCACCTCGCCCGGCTATTTTTTTGTATTTTTTTAGTAGAGACGGGGTTTCACCGTGTTAGCCAGGATGGTCTCGATCTCCTGACCTCGTGATCCACCCGTTTCGGCCTCCCACAGTGCTGGGATTACAGGCTTGAGCCACCGCGCCCGGCCGATAATTTGAAGTAAGTATCACAAGGTATAGGATCTAATGAAAAAGAAATAAATTTTATCAAAGGACATAAAAAGGACCTGAAAAAACATGGAAAGACACTTCCTATTTCTGTAAATAAATAACTATAAAAATATACCAAATTATCGGGAGGCGGAGGTGGGCAGATCGCTTGAGCCAAGGAGTTCGAGACCATCCTGGGTAACATGGCACAGACAATCATTTTGTCTCACTAAAAATACAAAAACTAGCCAGGCGTGGTGGTGCATGCCTGGAGTCCCAGCTACTTGGGAGGCTGAGAAGTGAGGATTGCTTGAGCCTGGGAGGTCAAGCCTGCAATGAGCCATGATTGTGCCACTGCACTCCAGCATGGATGACAGAGTGAGACCCTACCTCAAAAACAAACAAAAAACAAAACAAAATCCCAAACCAAATTAACACATAAATTGAATACAATTTCAGTAAGGCTAAAATGGAGTTTTTTTTTGTTTTTTTTTTTTTTAAAAAGAGGGTATGGGGCCAGGCGCAGTGGCTCATGCCTGTAATCCCAGTGCTTTGGGAGGCCGAGGCAGGCGGATCATGAGGTCAAGAGTTCGAGACCGTCCTGGCCAACATAGTGAAACCTTGTCTCTACTAAAAATACAAAAATTAGTTGGGCGTGGTAGTGTGTGCTTGTAGTCCCAGCTACTGAGGAGACTGAGGCAGGAGAATCGCTTGAACCCAGGAGGTGGAGGCTGCAGTGAGCCAAGGTCGCGCCACTGCAGTCTAGCAGGACGCGCGACAGAGCAAGACTCTGTCTCAAAAAAACAAACAAAACGAAGCAAAAAACAAAAGAGGGTATGGTTAAAACGTAAGTTCATATGTAAGAATAAATACCTATATAAGACTAGCTGGGACCATTACACTTTAAGTGTAATGCTTTCTATTCAGAAGTAAACAAAGCCTTATCCAATGTAGATAAATAAGTTATCAATAATTTAAAGATTGTAATATAAGAAATAAAACAAAAAAAAATTAGAAGAAAACAAATTTTTTTTTTGAGATAGGATCTTGCTCAGTCACCCAGGCTGGAGTGCAGTGGCAGGATCTCAGCTCACTGTAGCCTCTGCTTCCCTGGCTCAATCAATCAATAAATTAAAGATTGTAATATTTCTTTATTTCCCATCTCAGCCTCCCACGTATTATAGCTAGGACTACAGGCATGTCCTACCATGCTCAGCTAGGTTTTTTAAATGGAAGAAAATTTCTAGATACTTTTTGTACATTTGTAGTGGGAGAGAGCCTGTTAAGACAATGCAGAAAACATAGAAGCTGGCCAGTTGCAGTGGCTCACGCCTACAATCCCAGCACTTTGGGGGGCTGAGGCAGGCGGATCACTGAAGGTCAGGAGTTTGAGACCAGCCTGGCCAACATGGTGAAACCCCATTTCTGCTAAAAATACAAAAAAAAAGAAAAAAGAAAAAAGAAAAAGTAAAAAAAGCCAGGTGTGGTGGCACGTGCCTGTAATCCCAGCTACATGGGAGGCTGAGGCAGGAGAATTGCTTGAACCTGGGAGGTGGAGGTTGCAGTGAGCTGAGATCATGCCATTGCACTTTGGCCTGTGTGACAGAGCGAGACTCCATCTCCAAAAAAGAAAAAAAACAAAACAGAAGCTATTTAACAAAAACGATACTTCCTGGACCCATATTATTATAAGAATGCAATCAGGTTGATGAAAACCATAAATCTATAATTTCTAGTAGTCCCACAAGAAAGAAAGTAAAATGTTACTATGCTAAAAGACAATAAAAATAATTACTGTTTTCCTGGGAGAGGTAAGAAGGAAGAATCTTTGGAAAGCAATAGGGAATAAGGTAATGAATCAGACAGTAAACCTAGGAAAAAATGTGGTGACTTGGACAGGACAAAATGTGGGTAAAAAGAATACAAAGGAGCTCAGTCACTACCAGAAAACAATTCGATGTCCTAGTAGAACATTTGGCTAGTATTTTCAGGGTCAATCTCTGATCTAAATCAAGAACATTTAAATGTGTGACTACCTGTTGTGTTATTTGCCATATCATACATGTAGTATCTCTGGAACCAGAAATCAAATGTATTCCACAGTAATCTGTAGCTAAGCAAGTCACAATATCTGTAAGAAAAGGAATTAAATAAAATGAAATGCCTCGTTTTGCTAAAATAGAACTTTAAGAGCAATTTTTGTTAATGTTCAAACCATTCCTAAATCAGTCATGCCAACAGGGAGAAATGTAGGCATGGTACTGGAAAAGCATTGGGGAAGAGAGTCACAGGAAAGCAGCAGAATCAAAATCACCTTGGAGAGCTTTCTTTGAAATCACCCTCCTCTGAGCATGAGAAGTAGACATGCGGTGTGGGGAATGACTACCACAATCTTGGGAGGAGGTTAGATAGTTTGAGATAGATCCCCAGTTAATTTTCATATGCACTTTTGCCTTCTCATCCCCATTCACCTTCTACTGCCATTGGGAACTGTAATCCTATAGAATATATGTCCTTAGAAAAACTGCACGTACTATACTATAAATTCACAATACAAATATACTTTTCCTAAACTGCAAACAGCTGAGGTAAGTGATATCTTAGGATTGACTGGTACAGAATTAGCAGCAGACTCCATTTTCCTTCCCCAACAGGTTTATTAGAAAAAAATCTACTCAATGTTTTATTCTTATATTGAAGATTGATACACTAAGAAGTAGCAGATTAAAACTACATTCAACAATTTTATCACTCTCATGTTTAACTGTTAACATAGTAAGAGGGCAGTTGATGTCTTATTTAATGACAGCAGATTTTGTTACCATTTTGTCTTAAAATTCTTACTTTTATCATTCATTTAAAAAAAAACTTAGCCTAACATTTCCAGATGCTATGAAGCTGTATTTAATTTATATGGTGCTTTATTATACCCAAAATACATGAGGCACTCCTATAGAAAGCATATATTTATAATCTTACACAATAAAAAAGTTCACTAGGCTTAAGCCTAGTAAAATTTAATGCTCTTTACGAGGAGCATGTACTACTTTTACAGTTAAGAAAAAAATAAAAATTTTGAGCGTTTTTGGAAAAAAAGCTAATGCTTACCCATATGCCGGATGATGTGTGAGATAATTTTGCCTTTTGTAAGTGACATCACTTGAATGCTATTATCCCAGTATCCAGCGCTGAAGAGCAACTTTGCATCATGTGATACTACAAATAGCTTAGAAGTGACCTCTAACCCGGGAGCAAAAGGACCATTCATACTGCGCTGAGTTCTGTAAACACAATTAAGTATCAGACTGTTCCTTAAAAGATCATTTACACTGATACGAACTGTTCTTTTTAAACCTCTCTAAAAAAGAAATAAAAACTTAGTCCCAAATGTCCTATTTGAAATGTCTATTAATAAACGATAGACTTGCAGAAAATACGTCACCTCACTGTAATATTTTTCATAAAATAAGAATATACACAACAATCTCAAGTGCTAAGCAAAAAAAAGTTGAGATCAGTGAAAGTATGAAAAATGCTTAAATCTTGGATTTCAAAGACAATTTAATAAAATTGGCAATTTTGTAAATGGCAGCCTTAAAGTTTACAGTCTAGTAAAAAACTAGACAGGATATGCCAGGACTAGGAATATCAGAAATAAACTTAAACCAGGGATGTCCTACACAAGGTGACGCATAGGAGATAAATCAGGCAGATAAGTGTGTATCTAACAACACTTAGGATGACTGTTCTCCATTTGAATCAAAGCAAGCATGCTGGTTTTGTCAGCTTCCAAGTGCAATACCTGTGAGCTTAGCCAATCTAGATTTTTCAGAAAGACAAGTGATTGCAACTCAGTGTGTATATAGAAAACGAAGGCTAATTCTCATACTCTAGCTATAAAACTTTATTGGTCGATATTAATTTGCTGAGAATATGCTTCTTGCAAAACATAACAGTACTATGTGGGATAAGAAAGAAAAAAAGACATTTTCCCTAATCTCATGAAGTTGTATTCTAGTTGAGGAAGACAAAGGTACAATGATAATAATTACAACATTTTAAATAGTTTTCAAATATATGGTGTAATTTGATCCTCAACACAGAGTGTGATTTTTTTTTTTGAGACGGAGTCTCGATCTGTTGCCCAGGCTGGAGTGCAGTGGTATTGATCTCGGCTCACTGCAAGCTCTGCCTCCCAGGTTCACGCCATTCTCCTGCCTCAGCCTCCCGAGTAGCTGGGACTACAGGCGCCCGCCACCACACCCAGCTAATTTTTTGTATTTTTAGTAGAGACAGAGTTTCACTGTGTTAGCCAGGATGGTCTCAATCTCCTGACCTCGTGATCCGCCCGCCTTGGCCTCCCAAAGTGCTGGGATTACAGGTGTGAGCCACTGCACTGGGCCATGATTTTTGAATTTTGTTTTAATTTTAATTTTTTTGAGACAGAGTCTTGCTCTGTTGTCCAGGCTGAAGTGCAGTGGCACAATCTCAGCTCACTGCAACCTCTGTCTTTTGGGTTCAAGCAATTCTCCTGCCTCAGTCTCTTGAGTAGCTTGGATTACAGGTGCCCACTACCATGCCTGGCTAAATTTTGTATTTTTATTTTTATTTATTTTTATTTTTTTGAGATGGAGTCTTGCTCTGTCGCCCAGGCTGGAGTGCAGTGGCATGATCTCGGCTCACTGCAAGCTCCACCTCCCGGGTTCACACCATTCTCCTGCCTCAGCCTCCTGAGTAGCTGGGACTACAGGCGCCTGCCACCATGCCTGGCTAATTTTTTTGTATGTTCAGTATAGAAGGGGTTTCACCGTGTTAGCGAGGATGGTCTTGATCGCCTCACCTCGTGATCCACCCGCCTCAGTCTCCCAAAGTGCTGGGATTACAGGCATGAGCCACCATGTCCAGCCAATTTTTGTATTTTTAGTAGAGACAGGGTTTTGCCATGTTGGCCAGGCTAGTCTTGAACTCCTGACCTCAGGTGATCCGCCTGCCTCAGCCTCCCAAGTTCTGGGATTACAGGCGTGAGCCACTGTGCCCAGCCATGAATGTGATTTAACTAGAAAAAAATATAAGGAAACAAACAGGACAACTCAATGTAAGGGAAACATCACTTTAAGTTAGAACATAACTTTTGGAGATTAAGACACATAGGTCTTATTTTTAAATAATAAGGTAGAATAAAATTACAAGGAAGTCTGTTATTCCTAATGTAATTGCATTTTTATAACTGATATTATGGAAATTAAGTTTTGTATTTAAACCAATATAAATTCAGGACATAACTTAAAAATAAGGGAAGGTTGTGGGGGGAGGGAATGGAGGGAGGAAGGAAGGAAGAAGAGATAATCTGGATCTTAAAACATTACTTTCAGGGCTAGGGGGCCTATAATCCCAGCACTTTGGGAGGGTGAGGCGGGTGGATCACTTGAGGTCAAGAATTTGAGACCAGCATGGTCAACATGGTGAAACCCGATTTCTACTAAAAACAAAAATTAGCCAGAGAATCCCTTGAGCCTGAGAGGCAGAGGTTGCAGTGAGTGGGGATTGCGCCACTGCACTGCAGCCTGGGTGACAGAGCAAGACCCTGTCTCAAAAAAAATAAAAAAATATTTCTTTCAGAATAACATGAATCAATTAATCCAGTTTTTTTTTTTCCTGGCAATAAGGTACCTGGTATAGCTGTTTTGCTTTAAATATTCATCTACTTACTTTGGATTTGTCACAGTTTGATCCTTGATGAATGTAAAGTAATTAGAAATGTTTCTGTCATAAGGCAACCATCCATGGGTTCCAATAACAGAATTCATGCTTATTGTTATCTGTAAAAGAACATATGAAGACTGAAATTAAATGAAATATTAAGGAAAGCAGCCCAGAATAACCAGATGCTCACATGACATTGGCATTTATCACTTAGGGAATACTGTGAGACTGTGTACTTCAAACATGAAACGCATTAGGAACATCTTAAGATAATTCAAACAGAAAAAGTTCTTTGCTTATCTTTTATTTTCACTGCGTTGCCCAGGCTGGAGTGCAGTGACATGATCTCAGCTCACTGCAACCTTCAGGCATGTGCCACCATGCCTGGCTAATTTTTGTATTCTTTGTAGAGACATGGTTTCACCATGTTGCCCAAGCTAGTCTCCAACTCCTGGGCTTAAGTGAGCCTCCCACCTCGGCCTCCCAAAGTGTTGGGATGACAGGCATGAACCACCACATCTGGCCTTATTTATCTTATTGTAAGAAAACTTGACTTTTTTTTTTTTTTTTTTGAGATAGAGTCTTGCTCTATCACCCAGGCTGGAGTGCAGTGGCATGATCTCAGCTCACTACAACCTCCTGGGCACAAGCAATCCTCTGACCTCACCCTCCTGAGTAGCTGGGACCACAGGCATGCACCACCATGCCTGGCTAATTTTTTGTATTTTGGTGGAGATGGGGTTTCGCCATGTTGCCCAGGCTGGTCTCAAACTCCTAAGCTCAAGCAATCCACCCACAGCCTCCCAAGTTCTGGGATTACAGATGTGAGCCACTGCGCTCAGCCCAATTTATCTTTCTTTAGGAATATTATTTTTTCTCATGATTTCTCAAAGTTTATTAGCAGTTATTAGCTGGCAGGTAGAAGAAATTCAGGGACCAGTCTTACCATAAAAATGTAATATATATCATTTAGAACATAAATCAGAAGCAGAATTTACAATGAATTGTTAAGGTCTCCCTGTAGTGACAGTCATAGTGAGTAAGTTCTCTTCTCTTCAAAATGAAAAGCCTTTATCTTCTTGATTATAAAAGTTAACAAGTTACCCCACACAAAGGAAATTCTGGTAACTTTAAAAAACGCAGGCACTTTGTAAGGCTCAGGTGGGAGGATCACTTGAGCTCAGGAGTTTGAGACCAGCCTGGACAACGTGGCAAAACCTGATCTCTACAAAAAATACAAAAATTATCTGGCCATGGTGGTGTGTACCTGTAGTCCCAGTTACTCAGGAGGCTGGGGTGGAAGGGTCACCTGAGCCCAGGAGGTCAATGCTGCAGTGAGCTGTGATCGGCACTCCAGCCTGCGTGACAGGGTGAGACTCTGTCTCAAAAAAAAAAAAATATATATATATATATTTATACATATGTATTACAATTGATATTCACAATATTGCCACTGCTCAAAAAGTACTATTTCTATTTTTGTATATCTTTTTATTTTTATTTTTGTTTTACTTAGAAGGAGTCTCACTCTTGTCATGCAGGTTGGAGTGCAGTGGCGCGATCTTGGCTCACTGCAACCTCCACCTCCTGGATTCAAATGATTCTCCTGCCTCAGCCTCCCAAGTAGCTGGAATTACAGGCGCCTGTCTCCACACCTCTCTAATTTTTTGTATTTTTAGTAGAGACAGGGTTTCACCATGTTGCCCAAACTGGTCTCGAACCTTTGACCTCAAGTGATCCGCCCGCCTTGGCCTCCCAAAGTGCTGGGATTACAGGCGTGGGCCACTGTTCCCAGCCTATTTTTGTATATCTTTTTAGATTTTATTTTCTGAGCAAATGTTGCCCAGGCTAGTCTTGAACTCCTGGGCTCAAGCAATCTGCTTGTTTCAGCCTCCCAAAGCACTGGGATTACAGGCATGAACCACCGTGCATAGCCAAAAAGTGGCTTTTAAAAAATATTTATTTCCTCTTTTTTTTTTTTTTCTTCTAAGTTGTAATGAATATAGACATGGCAGTGTAAAAAAGGTAAAAATCAACTTACCAGTAACTCGGGGCTGCCTTGAGACATAAAAGAACGATACTGATTTTTGGGGACCGTGGCCTTTAATAGTGGAATACCATCACTAATCCCCTGTAAAATAAAAGAGGTTTAGTGGCTGGTTCAGCTCATCTTTATTAGGTACAAATTACTGAAAACCATTTCTTTAAATAAGGATGAATCCTGTGATACATCATTTTACTCTCTTGAAACATCTAATCAATTAATTTAAAATGAAGGAAAGGAATTATATACCATCTATAGGTGGCATACTTGAAACTTCTGAAACCCATCACCTTATATTCAATTACACTGCTTTTACAAAGAGACATAGATTTCAAAGAGCAGCAATAATTTAAAACAGCCAATGATTTAGGATCTATCCTAAGTTATACTGACATAAATATAAAGCAGAAAATATGGATCATATAAGATAAGCCAAATGAGAAAACTGGTCATAATTTATAGAAATTTCCTTTTGGGTCTAACTTTCAAAAAACATATCTAATCCATTAACTGGGATACTTCCTGAAAGCCACAGAAGGACCAGAAAATAAAGACAGCACTCAGAAAACATCTGCCATTATCTTATAACGATGTGAAAGAGAACAATAATTTGAACTCAGTTCCTTGATGTGACAATAGTTCACAAGTGATATCTAGTATTTACTAGGTAAATGATAACATTATTGGGTATGCGCTATGTATCAGGTGTTGTTCTAAGAACTTAATAGGAAGTAAGTAACAAATTATAAAATTCATTATAATTTATAGAATTATAAAAAGTTGGTGATTATCTTTTCTCTTCATGTTGTGAATTAATCCAGAGAAGAATGACTTGCATTTGAACAAGGCAAAATGAAAATGGTGCCTGAAAAAAACCCATTTATTAAGCCCTTGTTTTCACTACTACCTCTACTTTCTTCACAATTTGAACACCTAGGAAGAGATGACCTACAAAAGGCCTTCTTTTTTCATATTAATATATGGGGAAATACCTCTTACGAGAATGAAAAGGGATTAACAAGTTATTGGTACCTAAGGAAATCAATTGTGTTCTTTATACTGATCCAGATACTGAATGTGTCCTGGAGAAAGCTACTATGTGACATGGTGGGTACAGAGAAGGGCAAATGTGTTGCTGCACCTGCAGATGGAACTTGGAATGTACTATATTACAACAAAAGTCACAAATGATTAGGTAAGATGAAAATAGTTCTATTGGCATTATAGAATATAGTATTGCATGTCCATCAGATTATGGATCAAATAGGGTCTCATGTGTTGTTTTACATGCAGTAAAGAGTTAACAGAGCAGTCCTGAGACTGCCATCATTATTATAGAAAGGCCTACTTGCAAGACTGGCCTTTGGTTGGCATCTGGGACTTGGCTGGCGAACAGTTCCTCCTTACACTGATATAAAACTTTCCCTCAATGACAAGGGTGGCTCACTACACCTAGACTGTTTGTGCAAATAGTATGGTTTATGTTAAACACTTGTTTTTCTTCTGGAGTCCGGAATTTTGGTATGTGCCAGGCAGAGGGGTGTGTATGCGACCAGCCTCCAATAAAAACCTTGGGCACTGGGTCTCTAATGAGCTTCTGTGATGACAAAAAATGTGTTTCCACGTTTCATTACTGAAAGAATTAAGTAGGTCTTATGTGACTCCACTAGGAGAGGTCTCTTGAACACTTGTGCCTGGCTTCCCCTGTACGTCACACCATGTGCCTTTTCCCTTTGCTGATGTTGCTTTGTATCCTTTCACTGTAATAAATCTTAGCCACGAGTACATCTACTTGTTGAATTCTGTGAGTCTTTCTGGCAAATCACTGAACCTGGGGATAGTCTTGGAGACTCCCAACATATCCTGGGAATTGGTTACAATTTCTGAGCATTGTTTTTATGTGTTCTGAGTTCTACGCACCTAACTCAGATACTTTTGGAAACAACCAAGTTTGCAGAATTTGTATTGCAACCCTAAATAACTATTTCAGTAAACATGGATTTAGGAAAAGAGTGACAGATTAATTTTGAAATGCTTTCACAAACACGTGAAAGCATTTCCATACCAAAATGTAGTGGTGTACCACATAAAAACGTTTAATTCTTATATCAATTAAAAAATACAGTGATGCTTACAATACTGTTCATTTGAGTAAAATTTATTATAAAACTTTAACTTTTTTTTTCTTTTTTGAGACACAGTATTTTATTTTTTTTGAGACAGAGTCTCGCTCTGAGTGCAGTGGCATGATCTTGGCTCACTGCAAGCTCCGCCTCCCGGGTTCACGCCATTCTCCTGCCTCAGCCTCCTGAGTAGCCGGGACTACAGGCGCCCGCCACCACGCCCGGCTAATTTTTTGTATTTTTTAGTAGAGACGGGGTTTCACCATGTTAGCTAGGATGGTCTTGATCTCCTGACCTTGTGATCCACCCGTCTTGGCCTCCCAAAGTGCTGGGATTACAGGCGTGAGCCACCATGCCCGGCCAAAGCTTTAACTGTTATAAAACTCATAAACATTTTTTATACTACATTATCAAAAAATAGAATTTTTTGATAATTGATTTTCCCATGGTTATTGAATCTGAGAAACATGCTGCAGTGATACTGTAATGCAGGGTTTTACAAACTACAACCTGTGGGACAAAGCCAGCCCACCACCTGTTTTGTAGGTGGTGGGTGAGCTAAGAATGGGTTTTATATTTTTAGATGATTACATTTTAAGTGGTTATATATGTACCTACAGAATATCTTTGAGTTTGCCTTTTGGCCTGCAAAGCCCAAAATATTTACCAGTTAGACCTATCTCACTGCTGCACACTTTTCAAATAAGTTATTATTTGACAGAAGAAAAAGTTTACCAACCTCTGCTGTATTGCAGAGACTGTTCAATGTATATCTTCAAACTTACTAACTTTTTATTTTCAATTTTCTTTTTGTGAAGGGTCAATGCTATCTGTCCTAACCACATTCACAGGAATGAATGCATTTTATAATCACATTCTGAATTACTGCAAGTAATTTAATATGTACATTTAAACATTTGAATTTTTTACTTAAACTCTTTCAATTACACCATTAACTACTCTTGTTTTACTAGACTACTCATTCTATCAATTAACAATGTGACTTATTAGGATCTATTTTATATATGAGCAGACATTATAATTAAGAGCTATTAAAATATTATCTCCATCTACATATCATCTCGAGTGTCACAAGAAGCATTTTAAATCAAATTATTTATTCTTCTTTGTCAGGAAAATGTGAAGTAGATGAAAGAAAGCCAAGAAAAACAGTTCAGACTACCACTCAGCAGCAAACAAAAACTTCCAATAAAAATGTTTTAAAAATCCAACAAGATTATTACTGTAAAATTTACTATCTTAAATTAAATACTATAATCCTTACTTCCCATTAAATAATAAAAAGACTTTAAAATGTACAGAATTTAGAGAAAACTTTTTTTGATATTACCAAGTTGGATATTACCTCTATAAAAAATGACTTGAGTTCAGGAAGGTGTTGAAACAGGTTTAGAGTTGAAGTGTCTATTTTGGTCGGCTTCTGCACTGCTTCTTCTGCTGATAATCTTGGAGGGTGTGGTTCCTTCAAAATAATTTTAAGGAAAAAACAATTCCATATCTATATTATTAATCTGTCACTATGTTCCTTCATATACACTAGGCTCTAGCTACAATGAATTACATACCATGCATTGTTGACAATTCTAGGTGTTGGCTCAGACTAGTCTCTTAGCAGAGTTACTACTTTCTTCATTTCTTTGGAAACCCCACTTCTACTTTAAAGTTTTTCTTACTGATATCTCTCCTAAATTTTTAAGTCAGAATGTATTATTCTCTTTTATTATTTCTCCTTGGCAAATAATTTATATTTTAATTATAACTTATTTCTTTCTATGTTGGATTACATATAGTTGTTTATGGTCTGTCTTCCCCAACTAGATTATAAGTGCCTTAAAGCTAGAGAAGCCTTATTCATTTTTGGATTTCCATACTAGACCAGTATCCTACACATGTTAGATGCTTGGTAAAATCAAATGTAGTATTCAAAATTCAGAATGTATAATTTGGATGAATCTTTAATTCCTTGACAAGATCAAAATGTCAACACTGGTCAGGTGTGGTGGCTCACACCTGAAATGCTAGCATTTTGGGAGGCTGAGGTGGGCGGATCACTTGAGGTCAGAAGTTCAAGGCCATACTGGCTAACATGGTGAAACCCTGTCTCTACTAAAAATACAAAAATTGGTCAGGCATAGTGGTGTGCACCTATCGTTCCAGCTACTTGAGAGGCTGAGATAGGAGAATCGCTTGAACCCACAAGATGGAAGTTGCAGTGAGCTGAGATCATGCCACTGCACTCCAGCCTAGGTGACAGTGAGACTCCATCTCAAAAAAAAAAAAAAAAAAAGTCAATACTATCAGAATCAAATTATAGGTACTGCTGCATACTTTTCAAGTAAATTATTATTCTTCCTCAACTTTCATGTCAGAAACACAGAACAGTATCACCTATATAAATATGAAATAAATGGCAAGTAAAATGAATATTTCAAAGGCACAGTTAAAAGGCAAAACAGAATTCTATCTAAAGTAAATTCTTGCATCTCTACAACAAAATATTGATTATAGGCAATAGATGTGAAAGCTGTAAGTACGAAAATATTTAGCTTTTAGACCAGGCATGGTGGCTCACACTTGTAATCCCAGGACTTTGGGAGGCTGAGGCAGGCAGATCACCTGAGGTCAGGAGTTAGAGACCAGCCTGCCCAACAAGGCGAAACCCCATCTCTCCTAAAAATTAGCCAGGTGTGGTGGCGGGCGCCTATAATCCCAGCTACTTGGGAGGCTGAGGCAGGAGAATCGCTTGAACCCAGGAGGTGGAGGTTGGAGTGAGCCGAGATCGCGCCATTGCACTCCAGCCCAGGCAACAAGAGCAAAATTCCGTCTCAAAAAAAAAAAAAAAAAAAAAAAATTAGCTTTTAATAGATATTATTCATTTTATTTCAAATCAAATAATGATTTTTGTATCATTTTTATGACAATAAAAACTAACAGCACCACTTGTAAAACAAAAAGTAAAACAGGTGTGAAAATATGATAGCATCTATTTCAAAGCCCTTTGAAACATTCTGTTTTAGTCTGTTACTTTTGCCTTCTGACTGTACCAGAAGGTAAGGGATAAAGCATTGACTTCATATATGACTATTCTGTAAAAACCAATGTTGGAGGTTCCAAGCAAACCATTGCTAAGGAACAGTAACAATTACAAAGTTTAGCCCAATTACTGTATTGACAGAAGGACACCTATAAGTTAGAGCTTAGATATACTACTGTTGTAATAGCTGTGGTGATTTCAGTTCAATACTGTATTCAAGAGAGGTACAAAGATGATTAAGAGAAAGTTGCTGCCTTTAATGTATTTATAATGTACTGAGGCAAATGGATAAATATACAACCTAAGGCAGAAAGTATCATAATTAGGTAGCAAATAAAGGCCCATAAGAACATTTTAAGAGATCTAGTTTAACAGGGGGCTTACAGCTACTAATTCAGAGGAAACATGGCATGCGAGAAAGGTTCTGGAGTTAGATGGTCAGGCATATAATCCTAGTCACTTTCTTGTTGTGTAAACTTAGAAAAAAGTATTTAGTTTCTCAAAGGCATTATAGGCTAGGTATTACTTTCTGTGAGGCTTGGCTTTATCTCCTGAAAAATGAGGATAACTGAATTTTTACTATGAAGATTAGGTGAAGATTAGGTAAAGTACCTAACAAACACAGTGATTGCTTAAGAACAAATCTAGTTAATGAATTTTTTTTAATGTATTCCACATCACTAAATTCATATACTGAAAAAGATCAAGACATCTTTGAAAACTAACATTAGATTAATTTCCATGAATCCAAACCCGTGTGTTATCAGGAAGATGATTTAATTTCAGATACTAGTATGGGGAAAGAAATATATGTAGTATTTTTAATAATTTGATTCTACATTTTAAATATTCTATAATTCGATTCTTAGGACTGGGTTTGGGCTCTGGAAAGTAAGTGCCTTTTTGGGCAGATGTGAGCTATTAGAAGTTTTACATGTGGAATGAGTCCCAATATGAGGACAGTTTTAATGGCATACCCTAATTGGTACTCAGTTTTTCCTCTTGGAAATAATAAAAGACTTTCTGAGCAAATAGAAATCTTTCTGTAACTGAGAGTAATTGGCTATACATATGGATCTTGACTGCAATATTTTGTTATATACTTAAATCTACTTCTTAAGTTGACTTAAATCTACTTCTTAAGTTGTCGATAACACATATGACTTACCCTTAATAATTGACAAGGTGTTTGCCCAAAATTATTAATCATCCCTTCTAAGGCTTTTCTTTCTTTCTCATCTGTTAAGGCATCCAGATCCACAGCTCCTAAAACCAGGAGAAGAAGTCAACTTACTACAGAGTGAAAATAAATCAGCAAGCCACATCACTGATTAATGTATCAGGCTCACTGGTGTGTGTGTGTGTGTGTGTGTATACACATATATATATATATATATATACACACACATTTTTTTTTTTTGAGACAGTCTTGCTGTGTTGCCCAGGCTGGAGTGCAGTGGTATGCTCTCGACTCACTGCAACCTCCACCGCCTGGGTTCAAGCGATTCTCCTGCATCAGCCTCTTGAGTAGCTGGGACTACAGGTGCATGCCACCACGCCCAGCTAATTTTTGTATTTTTAGTAGAGATTGGGTTTCACTATGTTGACCAGACTGGTCTTGAACTTCTGACCTCATGTGATCTGCCTGCCCCAGCCTCCCAAAGTGCTGGGATTACAGGCGTGACCTACCACCCCAGCCTCACTGGTACAGTTTCAATAAAATATTATTCTATTCTTCAATTTATAACATTGTGAAAAGGTAATTTTAAAAAATCAGCAACTCATCAAACATTAAATATATGTAAAAATTAGCTAAAATATTTTAAGCAATTGAAAGTTAAATGATATTCTATGAAGGTTTCTACTGGGGGAGGGGTGGTGGGTCATGCCTGTAATCCCAGCACTTTGTGAGGCTGAGGCGGGAGGATTGCTTGAGACCTGGAGTTTGAAACCAGCCTGGGCAACAAAGTGAGACTTCATCTCTCTAAAAAATTTTAAACATTAGCTGGGTGTGGTGGTAAGGCAGGAGGGACTGGTTGACCCCAGGAGTTCCAGGTTGCAGTCAAGTATGATTATGCCACTGCACTCTAGCCTGGGTGAAAGAGCAAGACCCTGTCACGAAATAAAAAAATAAAATAAAATATAAGTTTCTTTTGCAAAAATACGAACTATACTCAGAGTATACCTAATTGTTTTGGTCATAATAGCCAAACTCAAACAAGAGTAATAACTACACAAAAATACTGCTTTAAGTTATTGCTTGAAACAAAGGTTTCGAAAGGTAATATTCTGGTTAACTGATTATACTCAGCCACATCTAATATGGATTGTTACATGACTAGTAATTGGCTAAACTAGGTAAGTCCAAGCTTCTAACAGCCATGCAATACTTTCTCCTTACAAACCTATTACCTGAATGGATACGGCATGGCAAAAATATGCTCATTTACCAAAAGTCTCTCACTGTATTCACATTCACATAACTTCACAGTATTCACCATCTTTAGAACTATTAGTCTACTTAAGGATTAGTAAAGAACTACTTTTGAAAAATCATTTTAAGGCCATCAGAAAATACTCTTGATTCTGAGCAAAATAATGTCATCATATGTATCATTTGAAGAATTTGTTATTTGTAATTTCAAAGGGCTTGTTTCAAAATCTGCTACTGTTTAATACTGAATATTTAATGTTTGACTCAACTGAATAGGACAAATATGTTAGAGATCAAAAACTTTTATGATGTTAATAAGTGACATTTATAACTAGACTGGCATATACACACTTAACTACTATTACAAAAACAGCAGCAGTCTCTTAATCTTTCAAGTAAAAAGACGTTTTGAAAATGTAGTCTTTCTCATATTAAATAGGCCCAAAATAACTGTAAACATATATTAAACAATAGTTTCTATCACGGTAAAGCAAGAGAAAAAGTGTATAGATTTATACCTTCGTAACTACAATAATAGAAAACGTTGAGTGCCTCTACTGCAGCTGGTCCCCTCTGTTTATAGCCAAAGATCAGATCTATCCATTCATGAAGATGAGCTGAAACATATTCAGACTCCTAGGAAAAGAACAAATTTAATAATTAATATAGAGATATCTTCCAACTGCAATGTAAATTCGATTCTTTAAAAAAGTAAGAACAAATGAAACATTTCCACACACAAATCTTTTTGGTGGCAAAATAAAATTATCTCGAAATAATAGCAAACATTTATTCAATATCTACTACATATATGAACTATTCCTATCTACTATAATGTAGATATATTTATTAATATTAATACATGCATTTCCTAATAGGCAAATAAAATACAAATATGCTTATAACAGCCCAAAAATAATAACAAAAGAGCTAAAAGACAGCTATGGAATGCATCTCTGTGGTAAAATTTCCATTGAAATAGTTGTCTAGAAATTCAATTCAAGAAAAAAAAAAAGATCAATTTAAGGAAACAATGAAACCACACTTAGGTGGACAAAATGGCTGCAAATCATTCTCTCCCTCACAGTAACCACTTACTAAGAGGAGGACAGGGTGGCAGGTAGAGACCTCCTGGAAATTACTAGTGATAACTTGAAAGACAGTGAGGAAATTGTTATTGGAGACAGGAGAAAACGGGACTCATGTTTTAGTTATATGAAAGAAAGAATGAACTCATGAATTTGGGTGTATAGACTTCCAAACAGAACATTTTAAGTACCATTTGGCTTCCTTCAGGCGCCTATGATAAAGTATGAGAGGAGTAAGATGGGTTAAAAAGTGAACTATTTGATTTTTTTGTGGGGGGGGACGGAATCTCTTGCTCTGTCACCCAGGTTGGAGTGCAGTGGCGTGATCTTGGCTCACTGCAACCTCCGCCTCCCAGAGGTTCAAGAGATTCTACTGCCTCAGCCTCCTAAGTAAGTTGGGATTACAGGTGCCTGCTACCACACCCAGCTAATTTTTTGTATTTTCAGTAGAGATGGGGTTTTAACATGTTGGCCAGACTGATCTCGAACTCCTGACCTCAGGTGATCCACCTGCCTTGGCCTTCCGAAGTGCTGGGATTACAGGTGTGGGCCACCACGCCCAGCCAAAAGTGAACTATTTGATTTTTAAGCACAATTTAAAGAAAACATAAAAAAGCCAGATATTGCTGGATTCAAAAATAAAACCATTGCAAGAGCCAGGCATGGTGGCTCATGTCTGTTATCCCAGCACTTTGGGAGGGCAAAGCAGGTGGATCGCTTGAGCCCAGGAGTTCCAGACCAGCCTGGGCAACATGGCGAAACCCCCCTTCTGCTACAAAAAATTAGCTGGGAATGGTGGTATGCACCTATAGTCCCAGCTACTCAGGAGGCTGAGGTGGGAGGATCACTTGAGCCCAGGAGGACATGGCTGAAGTGAGTTGTGATAATGTCACTGCACTCTAGCCGGGGGACATTTCTCAGTCCCAGGATCTCTAGAGGGCAAAGACTCTCGAAATGAGAAATTGCCTAAGGCAACTATCAAATCAGAATGTCACCGGTAAAATATGGTCTTGGATAAAAGTTTAGTTCAAGTGTTTGGCTGTAAAATAATCTGTTGGAACCTCAGAAAGATTTAAGGTTGTACCCCACAGACCCACTCAACTAGAAAATAGAGTGTCTAAGAATCTTAAGAGCATTTTTCCATAGTAGCCACCCATCCAACCCAAAGTAGAGAAGGGACTGTTTTGTAAAGTAATGTTGAATGGCTTTTGTCCAATAGACCTGACACATAAGAAACCTATAAGGTTTTAAATGGAATTAGACTAGTTTAGAGTAAAAGAGAGAAACTGCTTAAAAAAGAAGAGAGATCTTTGGCTTTCAATTCACTGTGGTTAGGAAAGAGGCTGACAAAAACACTCACGTAAACGAAGTTTTGTTTTTGCTTTTGTTTTAAATGGAATAAAAAGAATGACTTAGTGAGAGGCCAAAGCTCAAAGGTAGAACCAAGAGCCACTGAGCACCCCTCTCAGGAAACAGGACTGGACCCTAATAGAAGATCTGAGAGCATGTCCTTACTGGAATTCTGAATTGCTATAAGCCAGTATTTGTATTTGTGACTGCTAGAAGCCTCCTGTTTTCCTCCTCCTTTTGAACGGGAGTGTCTGTTAAAAGTTCTCTTATCCTTTCATACCACTGTTGTTACATGGGGGCAGATAACTTGCCTCTTTAGTTCAGGCTTCAGATCCAAGAGGAGCCACATCTGAGTAATTTCATCCACACACAGACTTGACTTAGATAATGAGATCCTGAATTTTAGGCCTCAAGCCTTAATGTGGAATAGCAAACTACTGTCTGTGGGTCAAATCTGAGTTGCTGCCAGATTTGTAGATTAGTAGTAGAACACAGCTACATCCATTTGTTTTTGCAGTACAACGGCAGAACTGAGTAGCTGCAACATAGATCTTATGACCAACGAAGGCAAAAAATTTACTATCTGTCCCTTTACAGAAACAATTTGCCAATTCCTTCCTTAATGAGATGAGGGTTTTAGGGGAAGGGTGTCTTGAGAGGAAGTGAATATATTTTGCATGTAGGAGTAAAATAATTTTTGACCAGAGGGCAGAATATATGTTGATTAAAGATAGCTACAAATTCTTGCCAGGTGCAGTGGCTCATGCTTGTAATCCCAGCACTATGGGAGGCTGAGGCATGTGGATCACGAGGTCAGGAGACTGAGACCATCCTGGCCAACACGGTGAAACCCAATCTCTACTAAAAATACAAAAAATTAGCCAGGCGTGGTGGTGGGCACCTGTAGCCCCAGCTACTCGGGAGGCTGAGGCAGGAGAATGGCATGAATCTGGGACACAGAGCGTGCAGTGAGCTGAGATCATGCCACTGCACTCCAGCCTGGGCGACAGAGTGAGACCCTGTCTCAGAACAACAACAACAACAACAAAAATATAGCTACAAATTCTTTCTCACTCTTAGCATTGAGAGATGGAGCTCAATTTCCCTCCTCTTCAATCTGGCATTGATACTGTTACTGTTTAAACATTATAAAGTGGCAGAAGTGATGCTATGAAGAAATAGTGGAAGTTTCCACTTTTGGAGAGCACTTAGCTGCCAGGTGAGGAGTCTCACTACCCAGCTGGAGAGGAGATATCCTGAGATTACATGGAGAGGCAAAAAAGCTAGCATCCTACTGTTTCAATGCAGCCTTCAGATGACTCCAATCCCAGCTGCCACATGACTGTAACTAACTGCACAAGAACTTCAAGCAAGAGCAGAATTCCTCAGTTGAGGCCAGCTAACCCACTAAACTGTGAGAGATGATGATAAAATGGCTATACTTTTTTTTTTAAATGGTTATACTTTAAGTTCTGGGATACACGTGCAGAACATGCAGGTTTGTTATGTAGGTATACATGTGCCATGGTGGTTTGTTGCACCCAACAACCCGTCATCTACATTAGGTATTTCTCCTAACGCTATCCTTCCCCTAAAATGGCTATACTTTTAAGCCACTGAATTCTGGAACAGTTTATTACTCAGTAATACATAACTGAAATATATAATTCTAATATCTTATTAATAGGGTTGTGAAAGCTGTATGGATAAAAATGGAGTCCCTTATGCCAAAACCTAACAAAATCTAGTGGAGAGGCCATAAAGGAGGGGCTCTTATGCATACATACCTATAATAAAGACTATCACAAAGACACTCTGAAAACCACAACCATACACCAAGAATACTTCTGCGAGGATGTCTGCCCAGCAACTGCCTGTTAAACCTTGGAATAATGCCATCCTTGTTATTAATCCTTGTGGTCAAGGATAATTGTTTCAAAACAACTTATGTAACCTTCCTCATTCTACCTTTAAAAACCTTTGCCTTCCTGGGTACATCTCTGGCCCCTAATGGTTCACCAGGGCACAAGTATTATCAGACTACAGTTCATCATTCATTCGCAAATAAGTCTTTTTTTTTTTTTTTTTTGAAGAGACAGGGTCTTGCTATATTGCCCGGGCTGGTCTCAAACTCCTGGGCTCAAGTGATCCTCTCATTGCAGCCTCCCAAGTAGCTGGGACTACAGGTGCACACCACCCACACTTGGCTAAACTCATTTTTGCTTTTTTAAATTTTTTCTAAATTCCTTATTCATGCATAGGGTTAAGGCTTACAAATAGTATAACTGAATTCTGAATTTTATAAATATATGCTTATTTTATAAATACATAATGATAAAAAATGTTTCCAAGTACTGGCTTAATTATTTTCAGAGTCCTCCAACATTTCAGCTTAGGTAGAGAATAAAGTGGGCTACTGTGGGGAAAAGTGGAGCCATCAATATCATCTGCAAGATAGCAACACAATATCAATGTTAAACTAACCCTCACTAGTCCTTCAATTCCAAATTAGGAAATTTAACTAAAAACTAATACTTTATTATTATTATTTTTTGAGATGGAGTCTCGCTCTGTCTCCCAGGCTGGAGTCCAGTGGTGTGATCTCAGCTCACTGCAACCTCCGCCTCCTGGGTTCAAGAGATTCTCCTACCTCAGCCTCCTGAGTAGCTGGGATTACAGGCACCCGCCACCACACCCAGTTAATTTTTGTATTTTTAGTAGAGATGGGGTTTCGCCATGTTGGCCAGGCTGGTTGCAAATTCCTGACCTCAGGTGATCTGCCCGCCTTGGCCTGCCACAGTGCTGGGATTAGAGGCATGAGCCACTGTGTCCAGCCATACATTTTTTAAAGTGGCATTTAAGGTTTAGCTGCCTTTTTCTTTTTTTTTTGAGACAGAGTCTCAAAAAAAATTGCATTCCTGTCACCCGGGCCATTGCATTCCTGTCACCTGGGCTGGAATGCAATGGCGTGATCTCAGCTCACTGCAATCTCTGCCTTGTGGGTTCAAGTGATTCTCCTGCCTCAGCCTCCTGAGTAGCTGGGATTATAGGCATGCGCCACCACGCCTGGCTAATTTTTTTATCTTTAGTTTCACCATGATGAAGTTTCACCATGTTGGCCAGGCTGATCTCTGAACTCCTGACCTCAGGTGAGGCCTTGGCCTCCTTGGTCTCCAAAAGTGCTAGGATTACAGGTGTGAGCCACTGTGCTTGGCTTAGATGCCTTTCTTTTAGAAGCTTAGTGAAATCCTTCAGAGAAAACAAAAATGTACTCATCCTTGTTAGACTTAAAATAAATGTGAAAACTGTAAAACGCCAAACCACACCAGCTTGGTGTCTGGAACATTTACATATACAGCAGATGGACATTTTACAGAGCTGAAATGTTTAATATTTTGCTATATATATATATATTTTCATGGTACTATACTACAGTCTCACTATATCAGAAGATTCATAGCCTCAAAATAAATTACCATATTGTACTTTCTAAAGTCAGCTTATATAATAAATTACAAATTAATCTAGAAAAATAATTAAGTCAGATTATCCCATCCCCTGGAAAACACATCTTTTATCTTATTATTCTGTCTAATAACTAAATGCAAAAGTCTCACCAAAGCTTTCCTATGTTTATAGATGAAATCTTCAGCTGATTTAGCCCATTTGGGGAGAATGACATCATTTACTAATTCTCTGGAAACTTGTAGACGACCCAAGTTAAATTCTAAGACATGTAAAAAGAAACTGTATCAAATCATTGTAGATTATAATAAACAAAGTAAAACAAACAATAATAAGGGCACATTCCCACGCAAAACATTTTTTTTCTTTTAAAATTCTTATCTATTGGAGTACATACCGGTTAATTTAAAAACAAAAATAACTAGTTTTAAATTAGCTATTATAATGTAAATTAGAGTAAGAATTAAGTTGTTAAGCAAGAAAAGTGGGGGAAACTATAGCTACAACCCTTATTTTAATCTGACCAAAATGAAAAACTAAGTTTTCTTCTCACACTTAAAATAATGAGAGGGACACAGTCCGTCTAATAGTACACTTACAAAATACAGCTCCTTAAAGCTTTTTGGTGTAACTCATACCTTAAACTCACTCACTAGAACAGTTATATTTGTCTGATGAAGAATAACATATTTACATACCACTATTCTAAAAAGATACTTGCATAATAAAGATCTGCTCATATGGTTAGAACATGGCATTTTGATAAAATTTCCCCAAATATGAGGGTTTTTTTTTTGTTTATACAACGTGGCGGGGTAGAAGGGGGACTGTTAACACAAAAGACCTTTAAAAAAGAAGGCCTTAAAATACCAGTGTGCTGCCTTAAAATACTAGTGTATCACAAGTTGGAGAGGAATTTAAATGTCATAAAATGACAGGATGCACAGTGCCTTTGGTTTTATGTTAAACCCATCACAGTGTAGCAGATATTATTTGTTGCCCACCTGATAGTCATTCCCCCTTTTTATTTGCTAGCAGAACCTTTATTTCATTCAAGTGTCCATCTCTGCCCTATATTTCATGCCCATTCCAGGTGACTGGTCTAGGGGTTGGTATATGACCCAGTTCTGGAGAATGAGAAGTTATGAGGAAGAGTTTTTCACTCTTAAGAAAGGACACAATGGATTAACAGCCTCACTTATTTCTAAGATATTGTTGAATCTGCCTATGATGCCTAAAACTGCGTTAGGCATTTGTGACCATAAGAGGAACTAGCCAAAGTCAAAATACTCAGAATGGCACAGTGAAAATACAGAAAAAAAGTTAGCGCTGATGATGCTAAGCTATCTGAAATTTCCATACCTCAGGAATTTTATTATGGGAAACACTAAAATTTCCTTGTTTGCACAATTTTGAGCTGGTTTTATTAAAATTTTTTCCTAAAGGCATTCTGTTTTTCTTTGTTTTTAAATTTTTTACTCTTAAAGGCATTCTAATTGATATATTTACTTTCTGCCAAACAGCTCACCTCAAAGAGGCAATGTATAGTTAGAAGTGGAGGCCATCAAGACAATGGTGCTAAAGATAGCAACTAACTCTCACATAAATTGTTAAAGAGTACCTTAAGTTCTCTATCCAAATGTAGTCTGCTCATCCCTCCTATTCTAGATACTCTGCTTTAGGATAATCCAGTCCAACAGCTGACTGAGAGTTTAGGATCAGACTCAGACAACAGATTTACCTCATTTTCTGAAAGTCACCAATTTTGACTGCCTTACTGTGACGCCCTGCCTCCAACAGCCTGTTCCAGAGTACACAAAGTGACATTAAGCCCTGGATATGTTCTCCTCAGTATGAAAAATAATTGTACTGAATAAACGAAGGGTCAAACATTAACACTACATGTTAGGGCAGGGAAAAAAGTTGGCAATAACTCTTTAACATTGTGGAACCTCCCGAAAGAACACCAATAGTAAAAATATTGCTATTTTCCTTATTTGTACTTAAAAGTAAATGTAAAACTACCTCACAGGAAAAGAATTTGGACATTTAAAAATGTATTAATATTTAACTCCATACTTCTCTACTTCAAAAACATAAATTTTCAAATATTATAGTAACTTATATCCTGTCATTTTAATTTGCCTACTCTTGCATGCTCTAAATCAGGAGTTACCAAACTTTTCCTATAAAAGGTCAAAGAATAAATATTTTTGGCTTTGTGAGTGATATCATATCTGCTGCAACTACTCAAATCTGCTGATATGCTTACTTTGAAAGTAACCTTCTATGATACAAAAATGAATTGGCTGGCCGGGCATGGTGACTCACACCTGTAATCCAAGCATTTTGGGAGGCCGAGGTGGAAGGATCACTTGAGCCCAGGAGTTCAAGACCAGCCTGGACAACAAAGTGAGACTCCATCTCTCCAAAAATAAATGCGGGCATGGTGGTGCACACCTATAGTCCCAGCTACTCAGGAGGCTGAGCTGAGAGGATTGCTTGAGCCCAGGAGGTCCAGGCTGCAGTGAGTAGTGATCACGGCACTGCATTGCAGCCTAAGGAAAAAGCGAGACCCTGTCTCAAAAAAAAAAAAAAAAAAAAAAGGAATTGGCTGGTTGTGGTCCAGTGAAACTGTATATATAAAGACATGAGTTTGCCCATGGAGTTGGTTAATAGACCTGTAGTCAGCTGATGGTTAGTCTAAATACTCACCTTATCTAACTCAAACACTTTTAACCTAAGTGGTATATATAGCTGAAATAGCACATGGTCATTTTTGCTTCCCTAGTAAACACTGTACACTATAGTCTGATAAATTCTCTTAATGATTCAAATTTGACCCCTTTAGCTTAGTTCCCTATAGCACTTCCCTGGAAGGTAAGACTCATACCGTTAGTTCAGCCCTGTCACTAAGTAATCCATAGACAGAATGAATCTTAAATAATCTACAGGATATTATAAAAATGTCCTGAAAGACATTTTTGAGGCTCGTCCATTGGGACCTGCTAGTCAAACTTTTAATCCCCTATTTCTTACGATTTTGATTTTCCAAAAACTCTGGGAAATAGAAGAATTCAGGAATAAGTTCTTTCACATCATATGGATTATCCATGAGAGCTTGCCAGGTTGCAGGAACAGAATGGAACTGCCGATCTGCACAGTCAAACCTGCATGTAGAAATTAAAGGAGAATGTAAATATTGAATGAAATCAACAAGACATGAAACAAAACTTTTAGATTCCCTTCAGGGTTCCTAATGATTAGAGGTACTGTTTTCTAAATCTTCCTCTTTAATGCCTACACACACAATTTACTCTCCTTATTATGATAATCTCATAGTTGTCAGGAACTAAATACTCTAATTTTAATCACCAGTAGCACCTTAGTTGAACTAGTCGAAAACCAAATCACACTGGAGAAAAATTTCACATAAATTAAATATAATCTTAAGAGTCTTTTTAGGGCCGGGCGCGGTGGCTCACACCTATAATCCCAGCACTTTGGGAGGCCGAGGTGGGCAGATTACCTCAGGTCAGGAATTCAAGACCAGCCTGGCCAACATGGTGAAATCCTGTCTCTATTAAAAATACAAAAATTAGCTGGGGGTGGTAGCACACACCTGTAATCCCAGCCACTCGGGAGGCTGAGCCAAGAGAATTGCTTGAGCCTGGGAGGTGGAGGTTGCAGTGAGCCGAGATCGTGCCACTGCACTCCAGCCTGGCCGACAGAGCAAGACTCTTTCTCAAAAAAAAAAAAAAAAAGGCTGCTGAATAAAATTTATTATAGAAAGTGAATGTTATTTCAATATTTGAAAATCACAGAGTATAAATATGATTATAAACATTATAGTATCAATATACTTGGTTAATAGATCTATAGGAATGATGCTGATTTAATCACTGATATGTAAATATTTTTACAAACTCTTCTGCTTAAAACCAGAGAGTGAGTTAGGGAAATAGCTCTGTGGCTAAAGCTTTTATGTTTTACTTGCATAATCTATTGTCTTATTTTAATATTATTTTTAAATTAATTAATTTTATGTATTTACTTATTTTAGAGATGAGGGTCTCACTATGTTGCCCAGGCTGGAGTGCAGTGGCTATTCACAGGCACCATCATAATGTGCTGCAGTGTTAAAACTCCTGGCCTCAAGAGATTCTCCCACCTCAGCCTTCCAAGTAGCTGGGACTAAGAAGCCCAGGCCTGCTTCTGGCTTAATTTTATTTATTTAAATTTAATATGGGCACTGCGTCTACAGTAGGTGAATGAAGCTCAAGTGGATATGCTGCAATTGTATTATGCTTTCCCTAATAAAATAACAGTATAAATCCCTTCTGTTTTATTTCATTTGATATTGTTTTCCTGGATTTATTAAGTATTTAATGGCCTTGAGTCTAAGGTAAGGCTATGCACAAGGAAAAAAAGTGACATTAATGACCAATTTGTCTGTTGTTTTTTACACCTATTTAATCTTGGTCTGAGGCAGAGTTGATCTTAGCAGAATTTCGAATTTAATTATAATTTAATTATAGATATCAGACCATCTAAAACATTATAGTATATAGTATATTCAAGAAGAGGTATAGTTTTGAGATAAAATTAACATATCACATAAATTGCTTGTTTTAAGTGGATAATTCAAGGGTTTAATTCAGTATATTCATAGTTGTGCAACTATCATCACAATGAATTTTACAACATTCTCATCACTCCAAGAAGAAATGTACCTATTAGCAGTCACTGTCCATTCACCCTACTCCCACCCTTGGAGACTGCTAACGTACCTTATATCTCTATGCCTATTTTTAATTCATTTTGCCTAGTCTGACGGTCTGTCTATTTTGGACGTTTCATGTAAGTCATGTAATATGTGCCCTTTTGTCTCTGGCTTATTTCACTTGGCATAGTGTTTTCAAGGTTCATCCATATTATAGCATGTATCAATACTTCATTCCTTGAATTCATTCATGGCCAAATAATATTCCACACTGTATGGATATATCACATGATTCATTTATCAGTAGATGAACACTGGTTTGTTTCTACTTTTTGGTTATAAATTATACTGGCATGGCCCGGCTAGGTGGTTCATGCCTGTAATCCCAGCACTTTGGGAGGCCGAGGTGGGCAGATCACTTGATATCAGGAGTTCACGACCAGACTGGGCAATATGGCAAAACCCCGTCTCTACCAAAAATACAAAAAAATTACTTGAGTGTGGTGGCGCACACCTATAGTCCCAGCTACTTTGGAGGCTGAGGCAGGAGAATCACTTGAGCCTGGAAGATGAAGTTTGCAGTTAGCTGAAACTGAGCCACTGCACTCCAGCCTGGGTGACAGAGCAAGACTCTGAATCAAAAAAAAAAAAAAAAAAAAAAAAAGGCTGGTATGAACATTTATGTACAAATTTTTGTGTGAATACATGTCTTCAATTATCTTAGGTATGTATATAGAAGTGGAATTTTTAGGTTATACAGCAATTCTATATTTAATTTTTCTTTTTTCTTTTTTTTTTTTTGAGATGGCGTCTTGCTCTGTCTCCCAGGCTGGAGTGCAGTGACATGATCTCGGCTCATTGCGACGTCTGCCTCCCGGGTTCAGGCAATTCTCCTGCCTCAGCCTCCAGAGTAGCTAGGATTACAGGCACCCGCCACCATGCCCAGAAAATTTTTGTATTTTTAGTAGAGACAGGGTTTTACCATGTTTGCCAGCCTGGTCTTGAATGCCAGACCTCAAGTGATTTGCCCACCTCAGTCTCCCAATGTGCTGGGATTACAGGTGTGAGCCACCACACCCAGCCCTCTATATTTAACCTTTTGAGGAACTGCCAGAGTATTTTCCACAAAAGTTGCACCATTTTACATTCCCATTGGCAGAATTTATAAAGGTTCCAATTTCTCCACATGCTCTTCAGCACTAGTTATTATTTGTCTTTTTTATTATAACTATCATAATGGGTATGAAGTGGCATCTCGCTGTGGTTTTGATTTGAATTTCCCTGATGACTCATGCTGTTGAGCATCTTTTCATGTGTTTATTGAACATTTGCATATCTCCTTTTAAGAAATGTTTATTCAGATCCTTTGTCTATTTTTTCATTGGGTTGTCCTTTTATTATTAAGATATAAGAGCTCTTCCCCCTCCCTCTTTTTTTTTTTTGTAATAGAGATGGGTGTCTCTCTATGTTGCCCAGGCTGAACTTGAACTCCTGGGCTCAAGCAATCCTTGTGCCTCAGCCTCCTGAGTAGCTGAAGTTATAGGTGTGTGTCACCTCACCTTGAGTGTAAGGGTTTTTTATATATTCTAGGTACAAATATACAAGTCCTTTATCAGATATAGTTTTCATTTCTTTTTTTTTTTTGAGACAGAGCTTTGCTGTGTCACCCAGGCTGGAGTACAGCGGTGCAATCATGGCTCACTATAGCCTTGACCTCCTGAGCTCAATCTATCCTCCCACTTCAGCCTCCTAAGTAGCTGGGACTACAGGTGCACACCACTACACCTGACTAATTTTCTATTTTTTGTAGAGATGGGGTTTTGCCTTCTTGCCCAAGTTGATCTCAAACTGATGGGCTCAAGTGATCCACCTGACCTGGCCTCCCCAAGTGTTGGGAATTAAAGGCATAAGCCACCATGTCTGGCCAGTTTTTACTTTCTTGAGGGTGACCTTTGAAGTATTACACAATCTATTTTTGAAGCTTTGTAAAAAATCATTTAGTCATAAAATTATTAAAAGCTGAAAAGACCCAGTGATACCTTATTGCATCTTTTTTTTTTTTTTTGAGACAGTTTCACTCCTTCACCCAGGCTGGAGTGCAGTGGCACAATCTCAGCTCACTGCAACCTCTGCATCCCATGTTCAAGCAATTCTCATGCCTCAGTCTCCTGAGTAGCTAGGACTACAGGCGTGCACCACCATGCCTGGCTAATTTTTTTGTATTTTTAGTAGAGATGGGGTTTCACCATGTTGAACAGGCCAGGCCAGACTGGTCTCGAAATTCTGACCTCAGGTTATCCACCCACCTTGGCCTGGGATTAGAGGTGTGAGCTGCCACACCTGGCCTACTTTATTGCATCTTATGAAGAGAAAAGTATCTTCTATCCGATACTTTAACAATAATATTCCATTGTATGGATATATCACATTTATTTATTCATTTATCAGCAGATGGACACTGGTTTGTTTCCACTTTTTGGTTGTAAATTAATCTGGTATGGCAGGGCACAGTGGTTCACGCCTGTACTCCCAGAACTTTGGGAAGCCAAGGTGGGTGGATCACTTGAGATCAGGAGTTCAAGACCAGCCTGTGCGATGTGGCAAAATCCCATCTCTACCAAATATACAAAAAAATTACCCGGGTGTGGTGGCGCACCACACCACACACATCTCAGTGAGCTGAGACTGCACCACTGCACTCCAGCTTGGGTAAAGGAGTGAGACTCTATCTCAAAAAAAAAAAAGATGCAATAAAGTATAACTGGGTCTTTTCAGCTTTTAGTAATTTTATGACAAAATGAATTTTTACAAAGCTTCAAAAATAGACTGTATAATACTTCAAAGGTCACCATCAAAGGTTACGTGGTACATGTAAAATCTGGGGATGTTTAGTGATCTTAGGGCCAGAGTCTCTTCTTGAAAGCCAAGGCTCATTGTACATAGACAGAAATAAGGAACCCAGGCTAACTGTGAGAGATAAAAGCTACATGGAAAGAGAACAGAATAGGCAATATTTACATAGCTCTGGATTGGGTATGGACGGCAAAATGGTTGTTAAAGAATAAGGCAACATGGAGACAAAACATGTATAAATAGGGAGCTATATGGAGGATTTATTGAGGAACAGAAGATTCATGGAAAAGCTGGTTTCCTTAGGATTAGGAAAATGTACAACATAGGTAAGATATAATACCCACAGTGTAAATACAGTGGTACAAAGACTTGTTTGAGCTGCTGCAATAATATAAGAGTCTCTTATTGCTCCTCCTTCCATTCCTCATGATACATATTTTTAGGACTACACAGGCATAGGCATTGGCTTGGTTTGACTCTCCGGTGACGCCTTAGATTTAGCTCTAAATCAGATCTAATTATAAATCTCTGGTAGAGTCCTCAAAACAGTAAGAATCACAAAGGTACACTGGAATAACACTGAAAAAGGAATTCTCCTTAAGTCACTGTGTGAGTCAGTTTGAGTGACTCATTCTCAAACTAGCTTATCTATTTTTAGCTGAATCAAAATTTAATACAGGAGAATAAAAAAAGACATGTTACACAGCACATGACATAAAGGCAAACAGTTTTCAACACTAACATATAGTCATAAAAAAAAAGCTTTTTTAGTGAAAACATACCTTCCACTCTGAAGTTGGATGTGGAGGGTGGTGAATGGTTCTACACGAATGAGATAGTGCATGACCCCTGCAGAATTTGAATAGTGAGTACCATAGTGAAACTTATCAATAGTTCCCATAGGATCCTCAAAATTTTCATATCTGTGGGGAAAAAAATCCTAAAGTTTTATAACCACAATAATAAAATACATAAGGGGGCATAAGTTTGTATTTTATTTCTGAAAACACAAACACAAAATTTCTGATGGAGTTTTTAAAAAGTCCATCCTTATTCATATGCCTCATTATCAAACTCTGTATTCATATCATCATTATACTATACTAGCAAATGAAAAAAGTTTTATTCCTTAATACTTTTTTCTGAACAACAAAATATCATAAATACCTAATTCTGGAATAGTTTTTATTTGTTTTTATTTTATTTATTTATTTTATTTTATTTATTTGTTTTTTTGAGACAGAGACTCGCTCTGTTGCCCAGGCTGGAGTGCAATGGCATGATCTTGGTTCACTGAAAGATCCGCCTCCTAGGTTCACGCCATTCTCCTGCCTCAGCCTCCCGAGTAGCTGGGACTATAGGTGCCCATCACCACACCCAGCTAAGTTTTTGTATTTTTAGTAGAGACGGCGTTTCACCATGTTAGCCAGGATGGTCTCGATCTCCTGACCTCGTGACCCGCCTGCCTCAGCCTCCCAAAGTGCTGGGATTACAGGTGTGTGCCACTGTACCCAGCCTGGAATAGTTTTTATTATGCAATAATAATACATGTTCATTGTAGGAAAAATTAGAAAACAGAATTAAAACAGAAGAAACTTAAAATCAACTATGATTCTATGTCCCAGAGATAACTAACACTAATTTTTTGGTGAATATCTATCTATCCTAATGTATAAATATACAAATTTTTATTTTACATAAAAGTGCTATATATATTGTTCATAACTTATATTTTTTATTTAACAATTTTCTAGGAGATCTTTCCAAATGACTGAGTAGTCTATTTTTAACAGGTACATAATACTGTATAGATGTACCACGATTTAACTATTTTTTTACTTTTTAGACACTTAAGATTGTTTCCTTGTATTTTTTTGTTTGTTTGTTTTCTGCCAGTATAAAGCACTGTGATAATTAGACATCCTTTTGTGGCCAAGGTAACAGGAAAAATTAAAAAAAAAAAAAAAGGAAGAACCAGTCAAGAATTGTGAAAATTAATACCTAGAAACCTAAAGGTAAAATAAAAAAGGGATGGTGGATAGGAAAAAGGCCTAAACCAGATTATTACCAAAAGATATATAGTGATTCTTCAAGATCTATCACTGATACATGTGTAATTAGTCTGAATGGTGACATCTGAATTAGTGTGTATAAAATCCAACTAAGAATAAAAGATTTTTGTAGGCCATAAACACTGAATTTCAAAAACCAAAATAGTAATGGGTTCATTAAGCTGGGGCCAATTTCCTTTTATATACTAATCATTAATATTCAGGGGAATAAAAAAGTTTTCAGTTCAAAGCCATTTGTATCTATGCAAAAATGTACCACTAAAATGTAAAACAACTTATATCTTTAATTACCAATAAAATAAGTTATTTATATGAGTATTTCCTGTAGAACACTGTTTTAAAAAAATTACAAAATCTTCTTTCGGTTATTATCAGAAAAAAATGTTTGACTAATGGCAGTGATGGTATACATATATACCCAGCAAAGTTCCACTGGTAAATCAAATCAAATCAAATATTAAACATCGTAAAAATCCTAGGGAAGGTTGCAAAGAAAAAGTAGGAAAAAAAAAGTACCATCTACTTTCATATCAATCTATAACTAAGTTAATTTGTAAAATAGTTTTGTCCTTATTATTAGAATTCAAAACTCAAAAGTCACCCCTAAGTTCACAGGGAGAAAAAGGGACATTAAAATCAGGTTACTCTTTTGCCTGTGGGCAGCTTGCTTCGAAAAAATTAACTGTGAGAAGTTGACAGGGTAGATCATAAACAGAACTATAAAATTTTCTTCTTCTTGTCAAAATGACATGTTCTAAACTGCCACACATCTACTCTTCTTTATTCACATTATTACTGAAAACACATCAGTATAAGTTGTATATCTACCCAAATATTATATTAGACAGATACTTTAATATGTTTGATTATTAAGTTATAAAGTTTGAAACATCTGGGAAGAAAAATTTCAAGAATTTATTACTGTTTAGCACATACTTATTACATGGTAAAAAGAAATTCTGAGCAATATCAGTTTAAATTTGGTGATGAAGGGAAATCAACACAAATATAGTCAAGACTTCTGAAGGGCAACCAAGATATTTTCAAGAAAACTTAGTGAAGTAATTATCAGACTCTGATTATCAAAAGTAGCAGTACGGTAAAAAAAAAATTTTTGGTTGGCCATAGCAAAAAATCAATACAAATTCAAAGAAGCAATGTGTATTTTTCAAAAGGAATAAGAAGTACTTACTTTTCTCGCATAGCTTTGGCATTTTTTTCATTAACTACCCCAATTGGTTTGGAAAGATCTCGAAATACTGCAGGGTTATTAAGGTCCAACTCTTCTGAAGTATAATCTTGTAAAATCCAGGGAAACTAAAAGAGCCATAATTTACAATTTACACATTCCTTCCTAGAGAAGCTAATATCCTCATATCTAATATCAAATGGTTATCTAAAGACAAAAAGGGATAGTCTCTAAAAATATTTTTTCCCTGTTGTAAATATCCACTCATCTTTAATTCAATAACCAGAAGCATTATTTCCTATAATTCCACTGGGATATTTTACTTTCTTTCTTTTTCTTTTTTTTTTTTTGAGACAAAGTCCTGCTCTGTCGCCCAGGCTGGAGTGCAGTGTCATGATCTCAGCTCACTGCAACCTCTGCCTCCTGAGTTCAAGCAATTCTCCTGCCTCAGCCTCCTAAGTTGCTGGGATTACAGGTATGCACCACCATGCCCAGCTAATTTTTGTATTTTTAGTAGAGACAGGGTTTCACCATCTTGGCTAGGCTCATCTCAAACTTCTGACCTCAGGTGATCCACCCACCTTGGCCTCCCAAAGTGCTGGAACTACAAGTATGAGCCACTGCACCCGACCCCATTGGATATTTTCCATGAAGTGAAAGAAAAAAAGATTTTACTTAAATTACTTTTCATGCTTATATACTTGTTGAAAATAACTGGGTAGAAAACATACAGAAAGGCCAAAGGGTTTTTATACTTTTTAAATAAAAAATAAGTATCATATATATACTTCTGTGATTTATAAAAATGTAGGGCAATTCCACATTTATAAGGTTTATACAAAACTTACCACAGGATACTGTGCAAGGTCATTATAGGTTCGTCCTGCCATTGTATTTATTTGAATGAGGTAGTCAAAATTTGATATCTCTCTGTTTACCCATTTCTAGACAGCACAAAAAAGAGCAATATCAAAATTTAAAAATCTACATCTCTTAGACATTGGTAGGTATTACTGACAATAGCAAGAATGGGCTAAAAAAAAAAAAAAGTACAACAGGGAGATACATCAATATATGTTTCCTAAATTTACTTCTTTTAAAATATTCGTCTCTAAAAAACGAACAGAAAATTCAACATAAATCTTATACCACAGTCTAGAAGGTCTTGATAAAAATTCTTTCGTAACAAAAAAAGAAAAGAAAAAAAAAAAGACTTGTCTTTTCTTCAATTAAATATTTTACTTGAATACGTTAACATTTTTATTTTATTTATTTCTTTCAGAGAAATGGTCTCACTCTTGTCACCCAGGTTGGAGAGAAGTGAAGCAATCATAGCTCATTACAGCCTCAAGCTCCTGGGCTCATGCAATCTACCCGGCTTAGCCTCCCAAGTAGCTAGGACTAAAGGTATGCCCTATTACACTGGCTAATTTTCTAAACTATTTGTAGAGATGAGGTCTTGCTTTGTTGCCCAGGCTGGTCTTAAACTCCGGGCCTCAAGTGATGTTCCTGGCTTGACCTCCCAAAGCATTGGGTTTACAGGCATGAGCCACCATGCCCAGAATAAGTGGATTAAAATTTCAAATTTTATTATTTCATTTTTTAATGATTTTTTTATTTTGGAGGCAGAGTTTCACTCTTGTTGCCCAGGCTGGAGTGCAATGGCGTGATCTTGGCTCACTACGACCTCTGCCTCCAAGGTTCAAGTGATTCTCCTGCCTCAGCCTCCTGAGTCGCTGGGATTACAGGTGCCTGCCACCACGCCCAGCTAATTTTTTGTATTTTTAGTAGAGACGGGGTTTCACCATGTTGGTCAGGCTGGTCTCGAACTCTTGACCTCAGGTGATCCACCTGCCTCAGTGCTGGGATTACAGGCGTGAGTCACTGCAACTGGCCTAAAATTTTGAATTTTAGAAGGACTGTTCCACTTTGAAATTTTTGTTACAAATTGAAATTTTCATAAGTATGCATATTAAAAAAATACTATCTTGATATATTAAAACTACCCAACTATTTTAGTGAAACATTACATTAATTATCCTCAGAGGATACTTAGGTGTAGCCCAATTGTTCTTGAGTGCCAAGTGGAGGGATCAGCACTTAAAGAATAAAGTTTACTGCAGAGGCAACAGGAAATATACTTTATTAAATAAAACTTTTTTCACTGGCAATACTAAAGAATTGCTGATGGGTCTTGAATAAGGGCAACACTTAAGAAAGATTAATGTGTATGTGGGAGGAAGGAGAGAGCCAGGAGGCAACGACCCTGATTAAGAGACTATGAACAGTCCTGGAAAGCCAAAACAATGGCTTTCCTTTGCATGCTGGCAGCACAGATCCAAGTGATACGGGGATATAAATAAGGATATAATTCATGAGAGCATTAATTCACTTTGGCTGGTAGGAGAATTGGCAATTTTTGGCCCTTTCCAGGCCCTTTTTTCCTTTTTTTTTGTTTAAACCTCATGTATTGATTATTTTTATTATTAAGATTTTAAAACCCATGTTATTATTATTACTATTATTTTTTGAGACAGAGTCTCGCTCTGTCACCCAGGCTATAGTACAGTGGCTCGAATCTTAGCTCACCACAACCTCCTCCTCCCTGGTTCAAGCGATTCTCCCACCTCAGCCTCCTGAGTAGCTGGGATTACAGGTGCCTGCCAACACGCCTGGCTACTTTTTGTATTTTTCAGTAGAGATAGGGTTTCACCATGTTGGCCAGGCTGGTCTTGAACTCCTGACCTCAGGTGATCCGCCCGCCTCAGCCTCCCAAAGTGCTGGGACTACAGGCGTGAGCCACTGCACCCAGCCCTATTTTTTAAAAAGAAAATTATTGACAGATATACCCATGAACTGAATGATACAGGAGATGGCAGGGGGGCACTGTCTATGAGAGGGAAACAAAGGAAGATTCAAAGATAATTCAAAAGATCAGTCTGAATGGAAGAACAGTAGTTGTAAAAATCAAACGAAAATAATCAGAAGAAGTCAAGTCTTATTTAAAAGGAAGAGCAGAACAGTTCATTACAGACTATTACAATTTCCTACCTGTGTCAATCCTGATGCTTTGAATAACTCCTGTGGTGATCTGCTTCCATAGTAACTATTTGGAGAACGAAGTGACAACAGTCTACTATATATTTTGTTTCTAACCTATAAAAAACAGCATTTTATACTTTAAAAATGAATCAAGACAAACTTGGAAGATTATGGTAGTTACAATAGCTGTACTGAGAGACAATTCACCCTTTTAAAGCATACAACTTAATGTTGTGTGTTTTGTTTTGTTTTGTTGAGACAGTTGCTGTCGCCCAGGCTGGGTGCAGTGGTGTGATCTTGGCTCGCTGCAGCCTGGACCTCCGGGCTCAGGTTGAACCTCCATCTCAGCGTCCTGAGTAGCTGAGACTATAGGTGCGTGCCCCCAGTGCCCAGATAATTATTTTTGTATTTTTTGTAGAGACGGAGTTTCACCACGTTGCCCAGGCTGATCTGAAACTCCTGGGCAACAAGCGATCCTCCCACTTCAAGCTCCCAAAGTGCTGGGATTACATGTGTGAGCCACCACATCTGGCCCCAGTGTTTTCTTTTTTTTTTTACTATATTCAAACAGTTGTGTGACTATCACCATTATCTAACTTTAGAAATTTTTTATCACCTCAAATAGAAATTCCATCGTCACAAACAGCTACTTCTCAATTCTGCCTCCTTCCCATTCCCTGACAACTACTAATCTAATTTCTGTCTCTATGGGTTTGCCTGTTCTGGACATTTCATATAAACAGTAGATTATGGTTTTAATTTCTCTACTGTACTTGCTGAAATCAAGCCATGTATGTTTTACAAAAGTTATTGTGTATCACGGAAGGATTATTAGACTTTGAATTAGAAAACTTGCTCAAGTATACTTCAAATTTAGTTCTGCAATTTACTAATCATCTTGACAAATAAATTAATTTACTGAGTCTCATTTGTAAATTAAACATAGTATCTATCCTTATAGTACTGTGAATTATTCAGGGCTATACACATGCAAAGTTATAAAATTCACTTATAGTTTCTTCAACTATTAAAAAAGGAATAATGGAATTTGCCTTTTTTTTTTTTTTTTTTTTTTTTGAGATGGAGTCTCGCTCTGTCACCCAGGCTAGAGTGCACGGGCATGACCTCGGTTCACTGTAACCTCTGCCTCCAGAGTTCAAGCAATTCTCCTACCTCAGCCTCTCGAGTAGTTGGGATTATAGGTGTGCATCGCCGTGCCCAGCTAATTTTTGTATTTTTAGTAGAGATGGGTTTCACCATGTTGGGCAGGCTGGTCTCAAACTCTTGACCTCAAGTGATCCAGCCGCCTCGGCCTCCCAAAGTGCTAGGACTATAGGTGTGAGCTATCGTACCCAGCCAGAATCTGCCTTATTATTTATTTATTTATTTATTTATTTTGGAGATGGAGTTTCACTCTTGTTGCTGAGGCTGGAGTGCAATAGCGTGATCTTGGCTCACTGCAATCTCTGCCTCCCAGGTTCAAGTGATTCTCCTGCCTCAGCATCCCAGGTAGCTGGGATTACAGGTTATGTGCCACCACGACTGGCTAATTTTTGTATTATTAGTAGAGACAGGGTTTCACCATGTTGGCCAGGGTGGTCTTGAACTCCTGACTTCAGGTGATCCACCCACCTTGGCCTCCCAAAGTGCTGGGATTACAGACGTGAGCCACTGTGTCTGGCCAAATTTGCCACATTTAATGTCATGGTTGTTACAAAGATTAGATACTTTACACAAATAAGCTTTAAAGACAATAAAGTTATACAAACACCTAGTACTTAGCAGGGGCAGACTTAGTTTAATTACATGACACAGCTTTCCATAAAACACATGCTTTGTATTTTCCTATGAAGGAAAACTTTCTTGTAACAGTAAAAAGACTTCCTTTTGTAAAACTAGAAGAATGGTCTTTAAACATCTTAATCAAATCATCAATAAGTAAACCTGGGTTCCACAGAAGAATGGAAAATTAGTTATTGTGTGTGCTAATGTGAGTCTTCTGAAAAGCAGATGCCAAGATAGAATTAAAATGCAAGTATTTTACTAGAGGAGATGCCTGCGAGAGAAAATGGCAGACCTATGCAAGGTGGGGAGAGCTGTCAAACTGTAATACATGTCTGACCTCAAGTGAATGAGAGAGGGAAGGAAGGCCAGGCCCAAGCATTCTCAGTAACGAGCCCAAGCTTACACAGCTAGTGGTGGAGACAGTACTTGGACCCTGGTAATCTGGCTTTAGAGCATATGCACTTAACAACCTACATTACTTAAGAATTTACTATATTCCTAGAAGAAACAGATTCCTCATTATTTTTGAATTTGAAACCAATCTAATTTACTAAATCTACTCATAGCTAACATATTGTATATTACATCACAAGTGAATGTAATGAGGCACTAAAAATTCTACTTTATCTAGCCATATATATAAAAGCTGAACTTCCCCAAAACTCAAACATAAGTAAATCTCAACAAAAATTCATACACTGATTAGCCCCCAAAGTATATATTTTTTCCTGTAACATTTCGTCTTGACAAAAGAATACAGCCCAAAGTTCCATTAGAGCTCACTAGCTGGAAACATATTTAAAGCCAGTATTTTGGGATTTCCTGAAACCACAGTACATACCTCTTTTTTGAAATTGAGAAAGTAGTTGGATTGGTCAACATGAAAAATCTCAAGGGCTGATCTTCTTAAGTTGTAACGCCGGAGGTGAATCTCTCGAATTTGAGAATGAGGCCACTTGAAATCAAAACCTACTCCTGAAAAGAGAAGAAATCTTGTGACTGAGATACCATATAAAGTTACTCATGCTATGTAGAAAATACCTTTTAGTTCTTGACAAAAGGTTTTAGGAAAAAGGAATTCAATTTCTATACTATATAAACCATTTGTTAAATGTGTTGGATATTTAAACTGGTTCTTTCAAAACTATTTTAAAGTTCTATAACTATTCTACTGCCTTCCCATTAGAATACAAGATAATTCTGAATACACCTCAGAAACAGTTTTCCTTTTCTCTGTATGTTGGTATCTTAGATTTAATCATTCTTTTATTATCACATAAAAGATGACATGAGAAGCCTATAGGAATAAGTACACATACAAAGGTATGATAAAATGAAGATAAAATGAAGACAAAGGTATGATAAAATGCGTGTGGTGGCTCACACCTGTAATCCCAGCACTTTGGGAGGCTGAGGTGGGCAGATCACCTGAGGTCAGGAGTTCGAGACCAGCCTGACCAACATGGAGAAACCCCGTCTCTATCAACAAAAAATACAAAATTAGAAGGGCATGGTGGCACATGCCTGTAAGCCCAGCTACTTGGGAGGCTGAGGCAGGAGAATTGCTTGAACCTGGGAGGCGGAGGGCTCAGTGAATCAAGATTGCACCATTGCACTCCAGCCTGGGCAAAAAGAACGAAACTCCATCTCGAAAAATAATAATAATAATAAACACTGATTTTGTAACTTAAGTTTATAGCAATTCCCTCTAGCCAAACCCTTAAAAATGCATCGATAATTTTTAAAAAGCATTTCCTTCCACTTGGTAACAAATTTAACCCCATACTGACTTTCCATTTCTCCTTTTACATGATACACAGTTCTATCTTACTGCGTTCTTCTCATTCATGATTGATAAATTGGATACTTAATTATTGAACAGCAAAAATCATTTTTTCCAGAACTCCTCACCATCTTCTTTTTCAATGCTGCCATCATAGAAGTAAATGTGTTGAGTAGTGATTTCTAATCTGCCAGGAATTACATCAATTATTGTAATGAGTTCACAGTCTTCCATCAATACCAATTTTTCTTTTTGATCCTGTTCTTCTTTCTCATCACTGTAAAAACAAAAAGCCGATAAACAGAAAAATCTAACCACTTATTTTTCTTAAATAGAAAATAATACCATATTTAAATATAAATCTCTCTGATTTTACTTTTTTTTGAGACAAGGTCTTGTTGCCGTGGCACAATGTCAGCTCAATCACCGCAACCTCTGCCTCCTGGGCTCAAGCAATCCTCCCACCTCAGCCACCCAAGTAGCTGGGAATACAGGTGCATGCCACCATGCCCAGCTAATTTTTGTATTTTTTGTAGAGATGGGGTTTTGCCATGTTGCCCAGGCTGGTTTTGATCTCCTGAGCTCAAGGGATCCATCCACCTTGGTCTTCCAAAGTGCTGGGATAATATGCATGAGTCACCGTGCCTGGCCTCAAATATAAATCACTTATCTGTCAAATTAATGTCCGGAAAGAATATCTGAACTACCCTCAAGAAATATTCTGCATATCAAATTACTTAAACAGTGTCCAAATATTTTTATTACTCAATGATTCAGTTTCATTAAAAATAAGCTTTACATCCTTATTTTATACGACCCATTATAATAAAACACAGTGACCCTGTAAAACAACTAGCAGAGGACAGTCGAAAAATAAGGCAATATTGGTCATGTCATTTTAGCTATATTGTGGGAGACATGAATTGACCCACAAAATACATGAATCTGTGACTAAGACTGCATTGCAGTGATGTTTGTAAATAATTATTAGAAGTACTAAATATGAATCTTAAACTATAAAATAAGACTTTCCAGAGTAACTAAAACTAGAGAGCATCACCATTACAGCATCCCCTTACCGAGGGAACTGGAGATAATGCAAAGAGCTATTATTGCCATACCTTACTTAAAGTGAAGTCACCTTATATTAGGAGGAATATTACTTATATTTGCTGGAGGAAGTTAACTGGAAAGAGACAGTCTTTTGGTGGCCTAGGTGACTTTAACTGCCAAGGATAGAAACAGGAGCTCCTGGCTGGGCGCAGTGGCTCACGTCTGTAATCCCAGCACTTTGGGAGGCTGAGGTGGGCAGATCACCTGAGGTCGGGAGGTCAAGACCAGCCTGACCAACATGGAGAAACCCTGTCTCTACTAAAAATACAAAATTAGCCAGGCGTGTTGGTGCGTGCCTGTAATCCCAGCTACTCAGGAGGCTGAGGCAAAAGAATCGCTTGAACCTGGGAGATGGAGTTGCGGTGAGCTGAGATCATGCCACTACACTCCAGTATGGGCAACAAGAGTGCAACTCCGTCTCAAAAAAAAAAAAAAAAAAAAAAAAAAAAAAAAAAGAGAGAAACGGGAGCTCCTACCACTCACAGAATGTTATTCAACTAAATCTTTTAAGCCAGATACTCTCTGGTCCTAGACATTTCATATCTGCCTCACGTCCGGGGTACCAATGACTAAGTCTAATTTTATTTTTAGTGGGTTTCCATGAGGAGTTCTGTATCACCAATTTAAGTTTGTAATGTTGCAACCATTTGTTTAAAACTAAGCTTTTCTTTTTAAAAATATAATTACTGGAAACAATGTTTTTCCAAACACTGAAATACTAATATTTACAGTGATAAATAGTGCAATGAGTAACCCTAAAAAAGTAAATAGTCTGAGAGTTATTTATATTAGATGACAAAAAGTATTTTGGTTCTTCAGTGTAAAAAAATTAGTCTGACATCCATTAAATTCACTAGTCATCAAAGAAAGAAAAAAAAATCCCAATTAAAAAGCTGACTGAATATCTACCAAGATATTTCCTTATATAACTGCCCCTCCCCAGTACCCTGAAAATAATCAAGGAAATCTAAAAAAATTACTGAATTAATATAAATAAAAATCCTGATTATGCCACCAAAGAATACTACTGAATCTAGTCAATTTTTAATACACCCATTTTTTGAGATGGGGTCTCACTCTGACACCCAGGCTGGAGTGCAGTGGTGCAATCTTGCCTCATTGTAACGTCCACCTTCCAGGCTCAAGCATTCCTTCCACTTCAGCCTCCCAAGTAGCTGAGAACAAAGGCGCACACCACCACGCCAAGCTAATTTTTTGTATTTTTGGTAGAGACGGAATTTTGCCATGTTGCCCAGGCTGGTCTGGAGCTCCTGAACTCAAGTGATCTGTCCACCTCGGCCTCCCAAAGTGCTGACAAATTGAGGGCCACCATGCCTGGCCCTCAATTTGTAATATTAAAATAAGCTTCAAAGAAAGATTTACCATGTGTAGTTCATAATGTAAACAAATCATATATTTGGGACATAGCTACTCATTCTTGGCTGAATATGTGGCTTTACGAACATAGAAAGTTAAGTATTAGGCGGGGCACAGTGGCTCACACCTGTAATCCCAGCACTTTGGGTGGCCATGGTGGGAGCAAACGGGATCAGGAGTTTGAGGTCAGCCTGGCCAACATGGTGAAACCCGTCTCTACAAAAAATACAAAAAATTAGCTGGGTGTAGTGGCACACGCCTGTAATTCCAACTACTTGAAAGGCTGAAGCACGAGAATCACTCAAACCCAGGAGGCAGTGGTTGCAGTGAGCTGAGATCGTGCCACTGCACTCCAGCCTAGTTGAGAGTAAGACTCCATCTCAAAAAACAAAACAAAAAAAAATCAATCAATCAATCAAATCAAAACAAAACAAAATTCCCAAAACTCACATTAGGGCAGATATATAAATCATGAACTTTAAATGTAATCCCTAAGCGATGTACAGATCCACTGGTGAAAGATGGCAGTCTTACTGGATCTTTTATTTTAGAGATGGGGGGTAGGGTGGGTCTTGCTTATTTATATATTTATTTTAGAGGTAGGGTCTGGCTCTGTCACCCAGGCTGCACTGTAGTGGTGTGATCATAGCTTACTGCAGCTTTCAACTCCTGGGCTCAAAGGATCTTCCTGCCTCAGCCTTCCCAATAGTTAAGACTATAGGCACACACCACCACCATGCCTGGCTTATTTATTTATTTATTTATTTATTTTGAGATGGAGTCTTGCTCTGTCACCCAGGCTGAAGTGCAGTGGAGCGATCTCAGCTCACCGCAACCTCCGCCTCCTGAGTTGGCACAATTCTCCTTCCTCAGTCTCCTGAGTAGCTGGGACTACAGGCGCCCGCTACCACACCTCGCTAATTTTTGTATTTTTAGTAAAGACAGTGTTTCACCACGTTGGCCAGGATAGTCTCAATCTCTTAAATGCGTGATCTACCTGCCTCAGCCTCCCAAAGTGCTGGGACTACAGGCATGAGCCACCATACCTGGCCTATTTTCTATTTTTTATTTTTGAGACGGAGTCTCACTCTGTTGCCTAGGCTGGAGTGCAATGGTGCAATCTTAGCTCATTGCAAGCTCCACCTCCTGGGTTTACGTCATTCTCCTGCCTCAGCCTTCCGAGTAGCTGGGACTACAGGTGCCCGCCACCACGCCCGACTAATTTTTTGTATTTTTAGTAGAGATGCAGTTTCACCATGTTAGCCAGAATGGTCTCGATCTCCTGACCTCATGATCCACCTGCCTTGGACTCCCAAAGTGCTGGGATTACAGGCATGAGCCACTGCACCCAGCTCGCCTGGCATATTTTCTTAGAGAGAGGGTCTCACTATGTTGCTCAGGTTGGTCTCAAACTCCTGCCCTTTAGTGATCCTCTTGCCTCAGCCTCCTGAATAGCTGGGATTATACTCGTGAGCTATAGCATTCAGCTGGATCAGGGGGGCTAAAGACAACCTCTAACCAATGACTGACCACCAACGTATGCTGACCCACAGACAATCCCTACTAGGCCAGGTTTTACAACAAAAAACAAAACAAAACAAAACCCAATGAATAGAGACGTCATTGGCAACACACAGCAGGTTAAAACAGGCTCCACAGAATTAGTTCAGGAAAGTAAACAAACAAACAAAATCACAACAGTAGCAACCGTAACAGAGGGAGATCAGAAGCCAGATTGGCTACAATTTGTTACCAAAAGTGTATAGTTTTTTAACAAAAATTATGAGAAAACAAAGAAAAAGGAAAGTATGAGCCATAAACACAAAAGCAATAAAAAGAAACTGTCTCTGGCAGACCTCTGATGTTCAATTTAACAATGACTTCAAAGTAGCTATCATAAATACATCAAAAGAACATAGGAAACTATGTTTAAAGAAATAAAGGGAAGTATAGCAATGAAGCTAATCAAATAGAGACTATCAATAAAGAGATAGAAATTAAAAACATTTTAAAAAAGAACCAGGCCGGGCATGGTGGCTCACGCCTGTAATCCCAGCACTCTGGGAAGCCGTGGTGGGTGGATCACCTGAGGTCAGGAGTTTGAGACCAGCCTGGTCAACACGGCCAAACCCTGTCTCTACTAGAAGTACAAAAATTAGCCATGCATGGTGGCAGGCGACTGTAATCCCAGCTACTCAGGAGGCTAAGGCAGGAGAATTGCTTGAACTTGGGAGGCAGAGGTCGCAGTTAGCTGAGATTGCGCCACTGCACTCTAGCATGGGTGACAAGAGTGAGACTCTGTCTCAAAAAAAAAAAAAAAGGGGGGGGGGCAAGTGATTTGCATAGATATTCTCCAAAGTAGATATATTAATGGCAAACAAGCACATGAAAAGATGCTCAACATTATTAGGTACTAGGAAAATGCAAATTAGATAGATATGACTTCAAACCATACAGGATGGCTATAATGAATTTTTACAAACCCACAAGGAAAATAACAAGGGTAGATGTGGAGAAATCAGAACACTCATATATTGCTGGTGAAAATGTAAAATGATGTGGTCCCTGTAAAAAACAGTTTGGTAATTCCTCAAAAGTTCAAACAGAATTATCATATGATCTAACTATTATACTCCTCAGTAGATACCCAAGACGACTAAAAACTTATGTTTGCACAAAAATTTGTACATGAATATTCATGGAAATACTATTCATAATAGCCTAAAAGTAGAAACAACCTAAATGCTGACTGATGAATGGATAAGCAAAATGTGATTATCCATATTTTGGACAACCATAAATGGTTATAAATGGAAAATTATTTATAATATTATTCAGCCACAAAAAGGAATAAAGTACTCTTATATGCTATGACATGAATGAATCTTGAAAACATTCCAAATGAAAATAAGCCAGACACAAATTGTAGGAGTTACAGAAAATGTCCAAAGTAGGCAAATCCACAGAGACAAAGTAATTAGTGGTTGCCAGGGTGTGTGAGAAGGGGAAAACGGGGACCGACCACTAAAAGGTACAAGATTTCCTTTTGGGGTGATATAAATGTTCTGGAATTATACAGTGGGGATGGTTGTACAAATTTGTGAAAACACTAAAAAATCCCATTGAATTGTGTGCATTAAAAACGGTAAATTTTATGTTTGTGAGATATATCTGGATTAACAAAAATAAAGACCTCCCTGGAAAACAAATGGAGAGTTTGTGGCAATCAGACTTTCCTTATTAGAAATACTAGAGGGCTGGGTGCAGCGGCTCACTCTCTGGTGGCCTATAATCCAAGCACTTTGGGAAACCAAGACGGGAGGATCATGTGGGCCCAAGGGTTTGAGACCAGCCTGGGCAATACAGTGAGACTCTGTCTCTGCAAAAAAATTTAAAAATTAGCTAGACATGGTGGTGTGCCTATAGTCCCAGCTACTCAGGAGGCTGAGGCAGGAGGATCACTTGAGACCAGGAGGTGGAGGCTCCAGTGAGCTGTGATCACACCACTGCACTCCAGTTGAGGTGACACAGCAAGATCCTGTCTCAAAAAACAAACAAACAAACAAAAACACACACACACACAAAATAACTGAAGAAAGTCTTTTAGGCTGGAAGGAATTTTTATCAGATGATAAATGAATGCACACACAAAGAAATAAAGTGCACAAATATGATACTTGATAATTATGTAGCAAACATAAAGTATTAATAACATACATTTGTGTTCTTCCTATAATTCATTTAAAGATAACTGCATAAAACAGCAACTATAAAACTGTATTGCTGAACTTATACAAAGAAATGTAATATGTATGACAGCAGTAACACAAAGAGGAGATGAGGAAATTAATATATTTTACATTTCCTTAAAGAAAGTTTTTGAAGTACAAATTAAAAATTTTAAAATGTATCTAAGGCTTTTCAGGTTATCTGTTTCTTCTTGAGGGAGGCTGGGTAATTTGCATCTTTCAAAGCATTTGTTTCATCTAAGCTGTCAAACTTACAGGCATAAAATCATTAGTATTCTTCTCAATCATCTTATTATTTGTGGCATCATCTCTTTCAATCCTAATATAGGCAATTTATGTTGTCTTTCTTTTAATCAGTCTGGCTAGAGGTTTATGTTTTTTTGCTTTTTGTTAGTTTGTTGTTTGTTTTTAATAACCAGGCTTCGATGTTTTTAATCTTTCTGTTTTTCTCTTTCACGAATTTCTGCTTTTGTTTTTATAATGTTCTTTCTTTTGCTTAACAGTTTATATTTTGTTCTGTACATTTCCATCTGAACACAGGTATAGCTGAATCTCACAAATTCAATGTATTGCCTTCATTATCATACAGTTCTAAATACTTTCTAATTTCAAAGTCCAGTTCCATGTTATCCCAGTTCTAAGAAGCCTTTCTCAATAATCTCAGTACTGATAAAATCCTAACAGCTGATACAGCAGTAACTGTTGGACCCTGAAAATACGTGGCGTTAGAATTTCAAGCAAATCTTTTCCACGATTTTGCAATCCCCTTTCTCAGAACAAAATAATTTTAAATATTTATACATACACATTTACTCTAGCTGATATATCCTCTTCAGGAAGGTCTAATTTATCCTCCTCCATATCACTAACTTTTACTTGTTTCACTACTTCCAAAAGCAATGTATCACTGGAAGGCTGTGAATGTTGGATACCTGTTTTAAACACAAAATATCTATTAAACATAAAGTAAAAAACAATATTATAGCCCTTCTGTAATTTCTGACTGCTAATTATGTTCCTGACTGTTAGATAATAACAATATGTATATAAGTAAAGATGGTACTTTGATTTAGAGTAATCCTTGATGTTTGATGGTGATTTTGACAACTACTATTCATAAGGTAAAAAGAATAAATGTTTTAAAAATAATAGTATCTATTTTTAATAATGGTACTATTTGTTTCAGAAATAGGCCAAGTACTCTCTTAATTTATATTTAATTCTAAAGGTTGCCAATAATTAAGTCAAAGGAAGAAATATTCTAATTGTATTAATGTAATAGAACTATTTTTAACATGCATTTGTACTAAAGCAAAACTAAGAAAGAATATATGATAAGTTGTCTTTAATCGGGAAATAATACACAGACCAAGAGTGAAAGTGTTTACTTTCTGGACCACAAGGAATTTAATACATAATTCTGAGGCATATATATGAAATACATGTAATGTATTTTATAAACTAAACATCCTGCAAAAAGGCAGGTCTGGTATAATGAAAATAACATGGTCTATGAAGTGGTGAACCTAGATTCAAATTTAGTTTTGCCATTTAGTAAGCCATATGACCCTTCTGAATGTATGTTTTCTAAATTGTAAAATGGAGACTTCATCACAAGGTTGTTAGGCACATGAAAGGTAATACATGTGAAACATCTAGTACACATTAAATATAAAATAAATGATAGCTACTATTATATATTTACCTTCCAACTATCTGATTGAAATAAGAACTGTAATACAAATATATGCATAATTTATAGGACTGAAAAAAATGAACACACTTAACTACGAATAAAGATTTCATTTATGGCAAAAATAATTCATATAAAATACATAAATAACACAATACTGCAAGTAACTATAAATAACAAAACACTATAAAGATGACAAATCCTCCCTTAACTTCTCAAATGATACCATTGCTCAGACATAAGATGAATCAACCTAATGTACAATTGCATTTTTCTGTGTAAATCTGTTTGATCATACCTTCTTCTATATTGGGAAGTAGTGATTCACATTTTCCCTAGAACAAGTTAGTAACTATTTCTACTGAACATGTTTTTTCATGAGGTCTAATTTATCATTAAAACATTTAATTAATAAAGTACATAACAATGCAGTAAAAAGTGAAAAGAAGGAAGCCCAGATAGTCTGATACAAATAGGATATCGACTTTATGTAGATGTATGGTACTATCCCGTTAACAGTATGAATTGAAAATCTGATGGAAGATTGGTGAAGGATGGAGAATGAAGGATAGACTGCAGCAAGGAAGCCAGCTGGGAAGCTACTGTAAGTTTGGAGAAAGCACCAAGCTAAGCCACGGCAATAGCAAAGGGAATGAAAATAAGGAAAAACATTCAAAGGTTATGTAAGAGATAGAATCAACAGGACACAGTACCTAAAGAGCTGTTATATGTAGGGATTTCAGAGAGATGAGGAAAGACTCATGGATAATATGGATTTTAATTTCACCAGCTAATATATGGAGATACTGATAACTACAATACCAGATACAAGAGAAGCAGAAACTAGGGTAAGGAATACACATACGAGAAAAGAGAATAAATTCAGTTTCAGAAATGTCATAAGGAGACTGTGGAACAGGTATCCCAATAGCCAGTTGGAAACATTGTTCTAGAGTTCAAAAGGAAGGTTGGAGCTAGAAATACAGATGGGAAAGCAGCATTACATATATGGTGGGGAAGCCATGAGATCACTTAGGAAAAGCACAGGTAAAGGCAAGATGCTAGCAATGGATCTGGGAACATCATCATTTAAAGGTGTGCAGGAAAACAGTTTTAGAAAAAAAGACTAAAAGTTGGTATAAAAAGTAGGAGGTTAAACAGCAGAGCTAAGAAAGAAATATATTTACAGTCTGAGTGGGATGGCTCATGCCTGTAATCTCAGCACTCTGGGAGGCTGAGGTGGAAGGATCACTTGAGCCCAGAAATTCGAGACCAACCTGGGCAACAGAGGGAGACCTTGTCTCCACAAAAAAAGTTTAAAAATTAAAAAACTAGCTAGGTGTGGTGATACACATCTATAGTACCAGCTGCTCAGGAAGCTGTGGCAGAAGGATCACTTGAGCCCAGGAGCTCAAGTCTGCAATGAGTGGTGACTGCACCACTGCACTCCAGCCTGGGTGACAGAGTGACATCCTGTCTCACAAAACAAACAAACAAACAGGAAAAGAAAGAAGGAAAGAAATACACTTACAGAGGTGGATAACCACTAAATGCTTCAGAAACAATGGAAGCAGGGTGAGGACTAAAAATAAGTTGTTAAATTTGCCAATCAGAAAACAGCATGTCTAATAAAGAATTACAGACAAAAAAAATTTCTTAAATCAAATTTTTTTTTTGGGAGAGAGGGTTTTACTGTGTTGCCCAGGCTGGAATGAAGTGGTACAATCATGTCTCACTGCAGCCTCAATCTCCGGGGCTCAAGCGATCCTCCACCTCAGCCTCCCAAGTACCTGGGATCACGGGCGCACATGACTGCACCCAGTTGACTTTTAAAATGGTTTTGTAGAGATGATGTCTCATTATGTTGTCCAGACTGGTTTCCAACTCCTGGGCTCAAGTGACTCTTCTCCTTGGACTCCCAAAGTGCTGGGATTACAGGTATGAGCCACCACACCTAGCCAAACCAAACGTTTTTTCTTTTTTGAGACAAGGTCTCACTCTGTTGCCCAGGCTGGAATGCAGTGACACAATCGTGGCTCAACACAATCGTGGCTCACTGTAGCCTTGACCTCCTGGGTTCAAGCGATCTTCTCACCTCTGAGTAGCTCCAACTACAAGCATGTGCCACCTGGCTACAAAACATTTTATTTTATCACTATGTTGCCCACACTACAAACCAAATATTTTTACTGATACATTTAAGAATATATTCTTTTTGATTCTTCAAATTCCCTAATTTACAAGTGGGTGTGTTCGAAAAGATGCTTCATAAGTCAGCTGTTTGAAATTAATAATGGATTTTCCATCCAAAATAATA